GTGGAATGTGGAACAAAGCCAATGGTGCATAGTTAATTTCTTCGATTACTTCTTTTGTTGAAATATAAATAGGCCTCATTATTCCGTGATTAGTAGTAAATACCTCTTCCAGACTAGCGCCCAGTTCTGCTCTTATGCTATATCGTGACTTCTGCGCCCGGTCGAACGAAAGCGTTAACGTTTGTTAATTAGAAGTTTATACGCGACGAGAGCCCCTTTATTCCACACTTTAACACTTTAAGCCACTAGTAAGTGTCTGAAAGAAGTGGCAGAAAGAAAAACTTTCATTTCCGAATTTCTAACAGCAGAAACAACCAACTGAACAAAGAAAACAATCGAAATTATAACTACGAATTGAAAAGTCAGAAAATTTGTTACAAAAAGTCAGCAAGTTCATTAGTCCGCCTTTCTGATCAGTTACACAGTTCAGTTGAAGACTAGGGAAAGCCGAACTTACCGCAAGGAAAATTTAATCCAGTTTCCTGCATGGAAAACTGACTTCATAGCATTCTAGCGTCCACAGACTGTTATTTGAGGCTTTTTAAGTTGCAAGAGGGTATTTCAAAGAGCCATTATGGCTCTTGGTATTTTCAATCTTGTCCCCACATTCCGCGTTACCCTTGTCCAGCGAACGGGCAATTTTGCTGGCTTTAATTAATAACTGGCCCTTCGAATTGTTTCCCTCAAATCTCAGCATAATCAATGACACCGACCCAACAACGGGTTGTTTTGCAACACCGAGTTGTTGTAGATGAGAAATCTACAGAGTTTATCAGTGGTAGCTAGGGTGTTCCTCAAGGGACTATATTGGGGCCCTTTCTCTTCTTGCGTTATGGTTAACGATTTAGCCGCAAAGAAAAGAAATTTAACAAAGCTCCATGCAGGGCTGGCACTCCGGCAAAGAGCTGATTTATTATAGGCCAATATTTCGGCTAAGAAAATTAGCCTTCCTCAGGGCCACAACTATACCGAGAGAAAATATCTTTTAACGGCTCCAAAAATTTGAATTTGAAATTCACATAACTAGTTAATGATAAACTACAATTATAAATACTAGATAGAATACTATAAAGGTAAATGATTTTACAATAAAAATAGAAATAGAAACAGTTCAATGTTCCTTCCGTCGGGTCTTAATTAATGCGGATGACTTGACACTTAGCATTCCAGTTAACTCAACACTAGCTCCCTACTCTCTTGAAACGAAAAAGGTTAGGCATGCATTAAAAACACACAAATAAGAACCTGCATTTTTCCACGTTAGCCTAAAGAGGTTCTTACATAAATGGTAATTAGCAGAAATTTAGGCTATTTGGGTACTTAAAAAGGTTCTTATTTTCTGAAGAAAAAATACATTGTAGCTAAAAATATTTAGTGGTATTAAGCTGATTCCTTAGGTAAAACCTGTATGCCATTAAAATTGCAGTTGGAGTAACAAGGCACCTATGTCTCCAAAGAGGATTCTGAATGTTGACCTATTTTATTTGCCCAAGTGTACAGAATTTTTTTTATAGGTTTTACTAAAATAAGAACCTGTTCCAATTTTAAGCTAAAAAGGTTCTTGTTTAGAAGCTTTCAGAAGGGTCCTAACTGGCAAATTTTAGCTTAACATGTTCTTAAAAACCAGGTTCTTAGTCGCCGGTTTCAATCTAAGCAAGACCTGGGAGATGGTATTAAGGGGAAAAACGACTGACCAAACAAGTGAATGATACGTTACCCTCAATTGGAAGAAATCCTGAATCCTTATTAAGACTTACTTTCAATCAAGACCCCTGTAACTAGGACACTCGTTCTGACTCATTGCTACATAAAGCTACTTCCAGGCTATACATAATAAGAATTTGTAAATTTTACGGTTAATCGTAGGAGAATTTAACTGCTCTTTTTTGTCTCCTCTAAGTGAACACAAAGCTGAATGTGAGACGTTATTCCTTACATTTATATAGATATTATAAATAAAAAAACAGCTCACTCGGTAAAAATTTTGATAGCCTGCGGTAGCCTAGACTATGCGCGAAAGGTTGCCCAGACTGCAGACTATACCCATTACTTGCAAGCACTAAATATGCACTAAGTGTGCTTTCCCGCCTTGATACTGAAGGTGATCGATTTGCTGGTGCCAGTTTCGGTAGGATTGTTATGAAAGTAATAACCTGGGATCAGGCGTTCTTTTTTCGCCTCCAAAACAGAAAGGTTGGCAGAAGGACTGCCTGATCGCAAGTAAAAAGGGAAGAAGGACCGCCTGATCGCAGGTTATGAAGGTAAATCCCCGAAGGCTTAAGAGATATCAAACACAACTCGACTGACCTAGAACAACCATCTCGTTGGCCTTTATTAAATTAATAGCCATCAGGTTGTTCCCAGTCCACTGAGTTTGGTTTATCGTGAAAGCTCGTCATCCGCAAAAGGGGTAACAACGGGTTTCGCTACTTGTCGAAAATAATTCTTTATACTATACATCTTAGTTCGCAACACGTTTCCTACGCATTAGGCTTTCTGTAAACCATTAAAAATAACCCCTTAATCTCATAAAAATAAAATCTTATATTTTTTGTTCTTTTAAACCTGGCTCTCCAAAGGTGCAAGTTAAGGGACTTTGCCAATACAGGTACAGCCAGCTCCCTTCACAGCGGACACTGTAGAGAACTTGAGTTAGTTTCCTCATTAGCGAGTGTCCTTAATAGCGCGAGTCTCAGTATTTCAGTCAAACATGCATCTGTAATTTATTTTTGCCCAGGATTTAGCTGCGGAACTTATTATCAGGGTGTCCGTAAGGCGAGAATTGACTGTAATCAGCAAGCCTAGTATGTAGGTAACGAACTCAAAAGTAGACTACGAGTAGTCCCCCATTTTTCCTCAGGGATAGCAGAGCGAGCGAAAATCACCCCACGCGAGAAAAGTTAGACACGCCGCGTGTCACCTTTTCTCGCGTGGGGTGATTTTCACGCGCGCTCGCGTTTCGCTCGCTCTACTATCCCCGAGGAAAAATGGGAGACTACTCGTAGTCTAACTCAAAAGTAGCGAATTGAACAAGTAGCGAAACCTGTGTAAAGCCGCCGAATGATTCCATTCCTTGCTTGTAAATTGCCGTGTACATCCCGGAAAATCCCATAAAGCAGGCAGGTAATGGTTACAGTAAAATTCATTATAATACTGTGTTTATTGGAGCTTTTCAGCAAGCTGATAAAGTACATTAATATGACATGTTGTTTGATTTCTAGCCGTAAATACAGAAAATCCTTTTCCCGTCAACTTTTAATCCCTTATTAGCTGATGAAAACCAAATTTCTCATCACAATATTCATACATTTTTAATTGAATATTACAGCAAATTAACGAGAATAGGCCGTTTCCGAGTTGCCCAAGCCTCTGTTACAAGGCAAGGCTAAGGCGAATCCATTGATATCAAAATAATTTTTTATTCTCATGCAAATGAAACTCATAATCACAAGAAAGGTTTTGTACTTAGCCTCGTTTTTTTCGAAAGTGAGGGTTTCTGGAACTCGGAAATGGCCTATTTAAAAAAAGAAAGAGTAAAAGACCTTGGTGGAGGTTGAACCGCTACCTTACGTTAAAGCGAAACCGTTGTTTTGTTCTCCAACATGGATTTGTAATTTTGTTAAACCGTTAAGTCTTTTTTAACAATCTTAGTTGCAAAAAACTTAAATACCGACCACACCTGAGTAAGTTCAAGTATCAGCTTACGTTTGTAGCTTCCTAAAATTATTGCGGCGGCAATAATTTCCTAAGCGTAACCAGAAATTAGGAGAACCTGATTGCAGTCTCAAAAGGACTAAAATATTGCAATAGAGAAATCAGTTGTTCCATCATTAAGCCGTTGTCTTTGCTGTACCCTGAAAATGGCAGAATATTTGTTATTATCCCTTTTATAAACTCCTACTCTGAAAGTTAAAAACATCTGTTTCAGTCACAAAGTGCCAATTCATCCCTACTGGCTAAAGTCTGATTTAGCCTCTCCTGGAGCCATTTGAGCCAAAATGGCCACATCAAAAGCCAATCTAGCACACGCTAGCTGGGAATCATTCCAGCCCTTACGTCCAAATCAGCCGTAGAGACTCTAGGTAATTGGACTGTACTGGGCCTGATTTTTATAGGACTGTATTTTACTCACCGAAACGGTCCCATTTTTAACGCTAAAACAGGTCCTTCTGATTTACAGTATAGTAATTGCGCGCTACTGCAAATTCAAAAAATTTCAGAGTTTGTTTTGGTAAAATCCAAAGAAGTAAACAGCACCAAGCAAATATCTTTCCAAAAAGATGCCCCGCCTAGGAGTTGAATGATAAATGAATTAAAGGCTAGCAAACGTTTCTGCTTGACCTTTTCCTTGATAACGACGTTGTGCAAATCGTTCATTTCAAGTCACAATCAAATTCCGGCGATTAAAAAAAGGTCACTCTACAGCATTGCAGTTTTAAACTTGACCCTCGGTTTCGTTGCATAGTCAAAGATGATTATAACTATATGAACACTGTATTGGTAAGTAGAAGCGCGAGCATGCTTGCAGATAAAATAGTGCTGTTAAATATAGTACCTTCGACTTCAGCAATACGTTCTTCACTGATAGGCCCTTTGCAGTTAGTCATTCACGTGGTACAAAACCGCCATGGTGGAGAACAACAGACGCACCGGGGCAAGAAAAACAAAGAACTCACATCATGATTTACAATAAATAAATCAGTTCCTTTGTTTGTCTGCTCTCAGTGCTTCTCTTGCTCTCCAGCATGGCGGGCTCTTACCACGTGAATCAGGGGCGGATCCAGAGCTTCAGATAAGAAGATAAGTGGGGGGACGGTCTCAAAACAAATTTTTTCGGCTCTTCGGGCCTCAGTTTGGTCCAAAAATAAGGGAGGGCCCCTCCCCTTGATCCGTCACTGTGAATGACTACCTGCCATGGGCCTATTTTTGCTACTTTCCTGCTGAAAATTTCAATTTAAGACTGCCAAATATGTTTGTCGCTGATCAAGTGAGCAAAAAAAGTTTACGTTTATACATGAACAGTGTTCTTTAAAACACAAAAGGAATGATTCTATATGGTACGAGCTGGCAGTACTTGTCCCAGTACGCTCCATACTTCTGCCTGCACCTGACATCGTCGCGGAACGAGCGGTGGATCAAAAGGATGAACATGAAGAGGAAGTAGAAATACGGTAAAATGTGACCAGTGCCACACGCCAAGCAGTACGACAGCGCGTTCATCAGGTCACCGACGTAATTGAAATGGCGTGACAGTCCCCACCAGCCAGAAGCGAGTAGGTAAGACATCTTTTGCTCGGCGTCCGTGGTTTGATAGGATGCCCTGATGTACTGCGCTGGCTTCCCCCAGATTGTACACTTGCCATTCGCCTTCATCTCAACCCGGAAGTAATCTTTCTGGTGATTGACTGAACGGAAAATAAAATATCCGGTCAGACCCAGAAGAAACGTGCCAACGCAGCCCCACCAGGGCAGGCTTACAGGTTGCCGGGCCAAGTAGACACTTTGGAGGGTGTACATGAAAGGGAGCCAGACAGTGTCGCCCCAGGCTAAGTAAAAACCAAAGTGATCGTGAGCGATGTCTATTGTGCGCAGGTACCAAGATTCGTTGAGGAAGAAGTCTACGACGTAGGTTCCGTGCAGAATGTTGAGCAGGATCATGGAATTGGTGACATAGCCGAAGTCATTGTATTGCTTGGCGGCGAAGGACAGGTTAATCAGAGTCCAAGCGACTATTCCTGGCCGTCCGTTGAAAAACAGTTTGAAATCAAAAGAACCGATTCTCGGGTTATGCTCAATGCCCATGAAAAAATCGTAAAAGGCCGATCCACTGAAGCAACGGTCCTCGGGATGACTCGGAAAAGAGTACGCCTTCACATAAGCGAACATGGCCAGGCCGAATCCGAACACGTTGCTGATGACCATCAGGGCTCCCCAGTTGTCGCTGATGATGGTGGCATTAATGAAGCCCTTCTTCACCAAGATGAGAAACAAAAGGTGTGACACCACCCAAGCACTAATACCATTACACTTGTAACTAAGCACATTCCCGGCTGGCGTGGCAGTGCCTCTTCTGATGCGGCCGGGCAGCGCAATGAATAAAATCACCTGCAGTATCATCCAAGCCATGTACAAAATGATTGCTTCGCTGCTTACCGCTGGGAAGACCTGCCTACAGAAAGTGATAATAGTTCCGTCGGATACCTTGCCGAGGACCACCTTTCCCAGACTTCCTAACGAGCACTGATAAGAGTGACAGGACAGCCAAAAGAACGCAACGCACACCGGTGGCCAAAGCAACATGACGGATCCTAAAATAGCAACGCTGACACCAGGTAGGCCTGGTGACAAATTAATTATATCGTTTTGACTTCTGACGATCTTAGGGGAAGAGGCAATTTTTGTCTGGTTTTCGTCTGGTTTTCTTCTGGTGACACGTGATTTCTCTGAATCGAGCACACCCACGTGACCATTCTGTGTTTCAGACTCCATGGTGCGATTGGGACCCACACCACTGGAAGCTGAGTGATGAGCCTGGCTCCCACCTGAGTTGGCCTCTGAAGGTGTCCTCATATTCTTGAGCTAATAACACCTGTAAGTAAAAGAAACGTTCACATTCTTATTAAAAGTCTGTTTACAAGTACAGTCAAGGCACCCCGACGATGGAGCAAGAGGTTATCTCTACATAAGATTAGAGGTCCTTACGATTTACTCAGGAAATCAGGTTAGAAAATCAAACGCTTCGCGCCATTCATCCTTTTGGGAAGCTGCAGAAAATATAGCCTGCGTGGCAGACGTTTGAAAGGGAAGGGAAAGGAAGTTTTAGGCGCGAGAGAAACGCGAGGGGCACGCGAGGAGAGAGAGAGTCCCGGCCCTCGCTTTTCTTTCTCACCTAAAACTCCCTTTCTCTTCAATTCCCCTCCAAACGCCTTTGATGAGACGCAATTTTTCTACTCTTTTTAGTATGTTCAGCATATTTGGATAGATTTTGTAGCAGGTCGTTCTCTCTCTACGTCAAATTCTATAGTTGTGTCTATGCATAAGATCTCCACCCAGGCGGTTCGTGTAAATGGTAGGCTCCCCTAGAATACTCACGGAAGATCAGGGATTGGTTATTTTGAAGCTGACTGTGGGACTGGGTCGGTATTGTGCCGAATTGCAACAAGGGACTGTTCGGGGACCCTGTCCAGGGGCCCTACAGCTCCTACTGGCTGTTACCGGGTTGTGCAGGAAACTGCATGGGTTAAAATTTATATCCTCAAAACAGGCCAATAGTGTAATTCAACACGACACCGACCCAGGTCATTGCCTTAAATAGTACACCAGGGCCCAGTTGATCGAAGGCCGATTAGCGCTTAACCCGGCGTTAAATTTAACCTTGGTTTCTTTTTCTTGTGTTCAAAAGCATTTTCTCGGATAATTTTCTCTGACACTTTTAGTGCTTCCAATCATCAACTTGTAGACAAAAACAATTAAAACTGAAATGCTTTTTAAGCTTTCAAATCTGAATTCAAATCTCGCATTAACCCTGGGTTATCTTAACCCAGCTTTGAACAACTCGGCCGAGGAGTGATCACTGCCAGAGATTTGTACGGTCGGTGGTACACTGCTGCAGCCTTCCTTTTCTCTTAAAATCCGTCCATTTCTTACCCCAGCCAGCGCGATTATAAACAACGACTTAAGGGAATCGCCGTTCGCGTGCATGGTTTACGCGTGGAGTGGCTTTGCAAAGAAAAATAAGAGACTGCTCGCAGTCTGCGTGTACGTCCCGCAGTGTCAGGTTAAGTAAAAGTACTGCGAGACTGATCAGGATCCAAAACCGGCACGAGCAGCTTCCATGTACCCGTGTCATAAAAACGCCAGGGCAGCCGTGATGGCACTCATCAAATGGCTGATTCATGCATCCTATTTGCTGTATTTGTACCCTGAATCACATATACCTGAACCGCAGTGACCAGCGGTTTCAGTGAATAGCTGTGGTTGAGTTGTTCATTCTTGTGGGCTCAAACACCTTGAGTGTTTTCCGGTATTTTTGTTGAGTGATGTTGTGTGAATATCCCAGAACAGCTCCGACGAGATGGCAACGTGTATGACTCAAGCATTATTCGATGCATCATTCTTTGGTAATTCATTTCGTTCTTTCGGTTTTTTTACCCGCATGAAATGTCAATGGACTCCTGTAGAAACATTCCCGCAGTCTGTTGCTTTTGTAAAATGATATCAGTTTACAGTAGTTTCCTACAGAAACATTATCTGTTTATGAAAAATGTTCGAGAAGGTTTGTTTTTGTCCGTAGGTGCATCCGTGTTTCGTTCTATTTTGCCTCGGTACTGAAACAAGCATTGAAGGAATAGACCTTGTCACGGTTTTCGACGCCATCTTGACGAGTAGGCAAACGCGTGAGAAATTACAGTGTTTATATGAGAATCTAGTGTCGAATAATTTCCGTAAAACGGCTGTTCTGGAAAAAAATATGAATTGTAAACTAAAGCTACACAGCAAAGGATTTTACTGACAAATTTTCGGGGCCGTTACTGTGCTTCAATTTCTCCAGAAGCTTGCTTTAGATTTTACATATATTTGTCTGCAATTTTTCCCGGGAAATTTTTACAGACAAATGTATAGAAAATTTTTAAAGAAGGTTCTAGGTCTTCTAGCGCATGTAATGCCCTCAAATTTTTTCAGTAGAATACTTAAGAGTGAAGCTTTAGTTTACAATTCATATTTTTTTTAAACCAGCCGTTTTACGGAAATTTTTCGACATTAGATTCTCATATACAAACGGCTGTAATTTCTCACGCGTTTGCCTACTCGTCAAAAACCGTGACAAGGTCTATACAGTTAACTCTCTCGCAACGGACACCTCGCTAAGATGGACACCTCTACAAGATGGACACATAACGCTGGTGCCAAAGGTGTCGACCGTCTTAAAGAGAGTTGACTGTAGACCAGTTTAAATATATTATTATGAATACAGTACTTCGCTTCGAGTCGTGCGGGGAATAAAATAAGAGACGTCAACTGAGTTGAAATGTAGAGATGAAGTATACATTTCTGTTATTTTATTCCCCAAAACCTGGAAGCAAAGTATGAATTTCAAATTGGCTTAGTCACATTAATTTTACCTGTCTCAGCTACAAAAAGGTCTTTTCAAAGCGATCCCCACGCACAGTCCTTGCTGTCAATGTTAGTTCGGTTCTTTCTATTGTCTGTACGCCTGTCAATGGCCACACTAGCACAGAAAAAGAACCGTGCTTTTGACCCTACCGGATGTAATTAAACAATGGCATTTAACAGGATATAAATGGCTCAAACCTAATGTGATTAATGACCTTTCATGATATGGTGTTTGTTAAGGAAAAAAATCATGTGACTGCACGTGCACGTATTCAATATCACATAAGAGGAATACGACAGTAGTCCACTTTTTCTGCGTCGATCCCAGTCGCTTATATCCCACCCTTCCCTTGATCCGTGCTTCTCCGCTTAGTCTTGGGAATGCCATTGGAGGAGGCAGCATTTCATGGCTGTATGATGAATAGGGGGACCGGGTAGGCCCGTACACCCTGTGTCCTGAAGAAAGGGGGAGACCGTCAAATTAGAGAGACGGAAATGCCCATCGGAAAATCAGAATGAAGCCACTCCGATCTGGGCGTGGTTCAGGTTTTATGAGACCATACTACAGCACACTATGACGGCGCTTGTATCTTTTTATAAAGATTTTTCTTTGCGAACAACCCTAATTGATAGATAGCTTTATGGGAAGAAAGTTCCTTCCTTAACACCTTAAGGCCTGGGGCAAACGTCGAATCTAAGTCGCGTCGAACAAATTAAAAATAGGTTCGACAAAGAGTCGACTTAATTCCATCGCGGTAACAAACGTCGAAGATGCGTCGATCCTATTTCACAAGTTGCACTTCATTAAAACACGGGAATAAGAACGTGTTCCCGTGCTATTCACTCGATGCGCGGCTAGTTACCTCTAGGACTGGCCGGAGAAATGGCGAAATACAGTGCTCGTCGGGCCTTTTTTTGGCAATTGATTGCGAAAAATAGAAAGAGAAGACTCGCATTACATACAGCCGAGTCTGAGTACAGGGTATCAGAGAAGACAGCTATTGCTCCAAGTGGCATGCTTGACCGTGCTTTTGTTAGCGAACAACAATGGAGCAGCGGTCTTGAGTCGGTCTTGCCACCGCTTCCAACGCAATGCTAATCTATGGACCACTGACAGCGAGAAACAGTTTAAAGAGTTCAGGATATCTAGATCTACATTTAAGTTTCTACTGGATCGCATTCGTAACGCCATTGAAAAAGACACCGTCACTGAAGAGCCTGGTATCGACTTGCTCGCAATTCCCGGAAGCGAAATTGTCCCGGTACAGCGCATGCTCGTCAGGGGGGAAATAGCGTCTGGCAGATGGGGGAGTCGGTATTTTTGTGACGCTTGCGCAGTCCATCACATTTGAATCAATTATTTTGTAATTTGCAAGATTTATGAATTGAATTCAGCGTGTGTTTAGAGCGACGTTTGCTGAAACGCCGAACTGGCACTATCACATTATCCGACTTGGCAAGTCGAACTTATGCTGGAGTCGAACCAATTAATTTGAGTCGAACTTCATTGCGGCAAACGTCGCACCATTTATGCGCCTATTTCAAAATTAATAGGTTCGACGAATTAAGTTCGACTAAAAGATTCGACGTTTGCCTCAGGCCTAGGTGAGACCAAAATCTGCAATTTTTACCCCTGAGCGAGTCAACGAGCATCCCCTACACTTTTCTAGGGAGTCTCCCCCCGGACCTGTGTTTATGGGCTCCTGAATTAAACACATTTATGCACGAATATGTTTGTGTTGCTGGTGGAATTTTGAAAGGATCGATAACAACATGAATGACGACCGAGAGGGGCAAACCTGTGTTTCATTTGGTTGACAAGAGCTGATGCTCTCATTTTCCACAGCGTTGAAGGATTTTTGGAGTCGGATAAGTTTTGGCAAAACCACAGGGTGTAGCTTCAAATATGCCGTGTTTTGCATGCCAATTAGCCGAGTAAGACTATAGTTGATTCCCCATAACTCGAACCCTCGCTAACTCGAACCAATGTCAATTTCCCCTGGATTTCCTTCTTACATTTACTATAATTTTATCCTCGGTAACTCGAACCCTCGACAACTCGAACCTTCCGCTAACTCGAAGTAATTTTTGTTTCCCCTCCGATCATTTCTATAAAATTTTACCCTCGATAACTCGAATCATGTTATAAGCGCGTGACAAGTCGGGAAATAAGCCGTGTACTGAAGTCCGAAACATCGAATTTATTTCGAAACAGCCGAGTAAATTCCTTGTCTTTACTTTTTTGTCACTCCAGTTCAAATTCAGTATCCATTCTGGTCTACTTAGTTACTTAATTGCCCTTCCTTCCCATCCATTTGCTTATTTCCTTACTTCCGGTTATTTGCTTCGAACTCCCGATAACTAGAACTTTTTTCGATTTCCCTTGAAGGTTCGAGTTATCGGGAGTCGACTGTAGTTTTAGTTTCCAGAATTTTTTCTCACGTGTTATTTCTGATTTCTCAAAGAGACTCAGACGCGGCTTTGAGCGATCGATCATGAAACTTATTTGTCCGATAGCCACTGCCCAGCTTACCTGTGTAAGGTTCATGGAGATAAACAATTGGCTGTGGCAAGAACCAGTGACAGAGTGTAATTGCCTACCGTCCTCTGTTACGCCATAAGTATGCAAAGTGGTTGATTGCGCGCGCGCGTGTAACTCTCACGCGACTTGATTGAAAGAACAAATGTTGGTCGTGGTCAGATTGACTTAGTGTTTATCTCTCTCCCCATGTGTCGAATCACGGCATATACAAAGAACTCGTCGAATTGGGATTTCATTGTTAAGAAGATTTAAAAGAGTCAAAAAAATTGAGTAGGGGATCATTGGTATGAACGTACCAGGAAAACCCTGGGTCTAGGTTTGGAACCACATGGCAAGGAATAATGAACTCTATTAAAATTTACTGTCTTCTAGAGGAGAGTCAAGTTAGCATCGTTGGGCTATCAATGTTGGGCCAGTAGTGTTGGGAAATGTTGCGTCCGTGTCGGCAGTGATGTGCAAACGGATACAACAACTCCCAACAATGTTGGGACCTGCAGTGCATCATGGGAAGAAGGATACAATCTACCTTAATATTCCATGAAATTTTGGCGCCACGTTAATTTAGTGACTTTAAAAAATCCCTATTTAGAGGCACTTTAGTTTGGCAATTTTTCGTAAATTTTGGAACATAAGTCACTTAATTTTCGCGATTTCACGCACTGAAACTTCCAGCTGAAACTTCGGCGAACTAAGGTACTCAAAACTTTTACGACGACAATAGAACACTTATGCGATGAAATAATGAATTTCAATAGCTTCATTTAAATCAAGATCATGCAACTTTCTGAAACTTAATTTTGAACGTAATAAACGAAACTGCAACTGTAATGTCATACTGTACTCTTAATGCTGTCCTCACTCATATTTAAGGTACATTGTCACACAAAGTCAATGATACACGTCATAACCCACTGTCAACTAGCATATGTGTGTGGAACGAGACTATGTGTAATGCATGTGCGTCGCCGAAACAAATGTTGGAAGAGTTGTGCAAACGGATCGAACATTGTTGCGCTACGCTTCGGCGATCACGGAACAGAAGAAATGTTGGGAGTTGTTCGCTCAAAAGATTGACCTGTTTCAAACTGCGCGCAACAACTCCCAGCAATACGTAGCCTGTGTAGCAGGCGCTTGGAAGTAGTGGGCGAAAGAGAGAACGGGCGAAGGCGTGTCTCCCTCGCGCGCGCGTTTTTTCTTGTGCCCACTACTTCCAAGCGTCTGCCACGCAGGCCGAACAATACGCAACAACAAGCAACAGGGTGTGCAAACGGACGCAACATGTAACAGCCAACAATGTTGTGTCCGTTGGCACGGGGCTTTAGAAGAACGAAGAACTTTTTGCCATTTTTTTCTTGCGCCCGCTTCTCAGGCGTACAATTGGTAAGACTGGTTTGAAAATAGGGAAAAAAAGCATTTTTGACTTCGTACTACATTACATGTATTTCTCTGTTATTTTAGCCTGCAAAGCAAGCGTGTTTTGCAGCGCTATCCATGATTTTTTTTCCGGAAATAATGCTATCCCGCCATCTTGGACCTTAATACTACCAGAGAGTTGGGGCGAGTCAAAAACGGATTTTAAGGGAGGGGTTGATGGGCGATCAATGTAACTTTCAGTTTCCATTCAAAAACGCCAGCTCTGGCTCTGCAGAATACTGTTATTTGGGTGGGAATCTTCAATGAACAAATGTATTTCCTCCGCTCGACCTGTTCTCCTTCAAGTGGGCGGCTAACCCACTCACCCAAAACCCTTCCGCGCACGCAAACGCGTATAAATCGATATACAACACGACCCGTCCCTTCAATCAATGCATATCAGTTTGATCAGGAGCCCTGATGGGCTCTTGGTTTGATATAACCCATATTCTAAAGGTTTTGCTCGGAATTTTAAAATCCAGCTCTCGATCGTTCAGTTGAAAATGTTCCTAAACATTCTCTTTGTGGCTAAATTTGGTACACCTGTCGCGAACAGTAAACAATCAAATATATAGAAATTTGCATGCGACAAATTTTAAGCGCGTGTGTGGCTTTTTGTTACCATTTATATGGCGAAGCAAAACTTTGTACTCGAAACCCACTACCGAGAGAATTGCTCAGTTGGTACTATAGATTACGACGTAAATCTGACATGACTTAATATCAGCCGAGGGGAACGTGTTAAACAAATATACTTCACATAAAGTGAAAACAAAATATTGTGCCTCCTTTCAGAATTGATAGAATTGTGATTTTAAGATGAAATTATTATTTTTTCACTGATAACACTTGCCAGCGCTTTCAAAGACAAAGACCAAATGATCGGTTTCCTAGATGATTTTCTGCTTGAGTTATTCAACGCCACATTGAGCCAGACGGCAGCGGTGCTCGATCAATATTTGTGATTGAACATCGCGCCCCATTTTCTCAATCTAATATTGAAGTCCTCGCCGGGAAGCGGCGAAAGACAGTGTTTCAAACGACGGTTTGAAACTGGAGAGACTCGAAAAAGAAATACACCCGCTTCGGCTGTCAAGAACAGGCAGTTTCGTCAAGATTGGTGAGTTTAAGCACCAGCGGTTACATAATAGGAGAGCTTGACACACCGCACTGATCAACGAAGGGCCGAGATTTTGCTCTTACACTATGTAATTTAATAAAGAATAAAACGCATGAGGAGGTTTGGTTATAATTTTAGTTCCCTTCAAATATTGGGAAAAATACTTCAGAAGCATTTTTTTCTCTACTGAGAGAAGCGTCTGAATAGGTTTGGTTACATGTATGGCTATCAGAAGATCACCATGAAATATGCACTGAAAAAGAGATTTGGTGTGGCGGGTATAAAATTTGATGTAATTTGTTTGCCGTATATTATATCAGAGAGGAATTACTTTGCCATTAATTATGATCAAACCGTAGCGAAAAATATTTTTCAGCCTACCTGGTGCGAAGAAGCTATGATCCTTTCACAAAGCGCCCATGGACGGAACTGCACAGTTGATGAAACAAGCCGGCAAGTCACATGTTACATTCAAACTGGTTTAAATGAATGCTTTGTCTTCAGCAACACGCAAAATTACTTGATGCCTTTCACGTGCAACACAAACTGTGAGATCCAATGACATCGGCCCTTAGCAGTCACCTCACATTTCCATTCTAATTTAAGGGGACTAAAGATGAGCAATTTAAATGGAATAAATATAATGACATTAAATATCCAATAGCAGCAGAGAAAATATTATTTGTCAAGTGGCCAATCTTTCTAAGGTGGTGACCAAGTGGAAATGACAAATTAGAATCAGGAAGCAGGTTTATTATAATCTTTAGGAGATTAAAATAACTGCAGATTCTGAGATTTGAGTTTAAGTTGTAGTATGATCGCATTTTTGCATTACAAAGCAAAACTCACGCGCACCTACAAATTCCGTCTTTCATAGGAAAAAAGGCTAGTTCAGTCAGGTTTTTGGTATTAGTTAAAATTAAAGAGTTCTTGAACGCTTTTAGTAGATTTGTAAGATCTCTATCAAGCACCATCTGTAGCCTAGAATCGCTGTTGATGCTTTTGAATCTCACAGCCGACATTAAACGATACTTTATTGTATTCAAACCAAGAGAGAATGAGCTAGGTGATTCAAAGAGAGAAAAAATATTTCTCCCCTTTCTTTCCTTTAAAAAGCCTGAATGTCAGGGTAATCCCATTGAAAAATGTTAGTGTTAATAAGGCCCCTTTTATCAAGCCGTCTTTACACTTAGGAAATGACAAACCCCTCTTACTTCCGGCGGCCACCGCTCCCGCGGGGAGGGACTCCGCATATGAAAAGGGTGGCGATGCTAGTTGGAAATTTTGAATTAAACCCCTAAAGGAAACCGATCTTGGCGTGGCCCAAGCGTTTTTTGACCCCTGAAAGAGACCATGTTAAAACACAGACAATATATGTATTTTTATATTTTTTCGTGTCCAACCCTAAACGAGACCTTCACTGCTAAATATGATGACGTTTTGCCCAGAACACCCTAAGTGAGACAAAAGTCCGAAATTTACATCCCTAAGCGGAGACGACGAACATCCCCAACCCTTTCATATGCAGAGTCCCCCCCGGGCCACCGCTGGTTATCTGGGTCAAGTTGTGGTCGAGTTTTTCCTTTCTCATCAGGAATATTCTTAATCCCATTGTCTGTTTACATGAAAGCCATCAGGGCACTGGCTCTTTCAATAGAGGTGATTACTGATGTAGAACTTTCTACATGACTAAATTTAAGAAGCTAATGCTCGCCACTCACTGTAAACTGAAAACCTGTTACGATGTCACAGTATCTTACTTAATTAGCTCAGGCTGGCTGACGTAGTCTTTTTTGTTTCGTGATTCTTTCGTGACATTTCAAAATTGTGTGTCAAAAATAAAATAAAGATATTGTAATACGAGTGTTTGATATTCGCAGGCTATCCGGCCATGTGTCTATCCACCTTAAACTTAACGCTGCCAAGGTCATTCAAGTTCCACAGCAAAGATGATGGACCTGGGGAGGTTAGTTGGGTGAATTTTGGCTGGGTACAATGGATCCTCGATTTAACGAAACTCTATATAACGAAGTCCTCGGTATAACGAACGATTTCGCGAATTCCTTTACCCCTGTAATAGTATAATATATGAAAAAACCTCGAAATAACGAAAGCTCGTTATAGCGAACAAATTTTGCCAGCCCCTTGTCCCTTCGTTATATCCAGTTTCCACTGTATGTGTCGCTGACCTCTCAGAACCCCTACCCCATTAAAGTCTAGTTGTGTGGCCAAATATAGACCCGGGCGGTACTCCCTATATAAGCTATATAGGTATGTGCCGCCCCAAAGGGTAGGGTTTTTGAGCCGTTTTGGTCTGAAAACTGGTATAGATTTTGCTCCAGTTATGGACTGAAACAGGGTATGGTTTTCAAGGGAATTCGACCAAAAGAGCTTATCAGGGGTACCCAACGAGAATATAGTTCAAAATCACTTAAACCAGGAGCCAATCCTGCGCAAACATAGCTTTGTTAAACGGAGTATTTAAACAGTAGATATAGGCATATTTTTATCCCCTAAAAATTTTTAATCTGTTCGGATTTCCTAGCTGAAAGTGTAGGGAACCGAAAATTATAGGGATCAAAACTTACCTTTTCGAAAATTTCAGCCAGAAAAAATGCTCCCGAAAATTCTAGGTGACCTTTTAATTTTAGGGTAAAAATCCGTTAAAAATGGGCAATTATACCAGGTTTTAGATGTTCGAAAATCCTAGGAGAGGCAGGCAAGCAAGAAACTTACAAAAAAATGTTCCTAAAATTCTAGATCTCAAATCCTCTTCCGAAGAGATATAGTCAGAAAATTGACGTTGAGTGCCCCTGGCTTATCAACGTATTTGTCTCGTTAGCTTCAAATAGATAAGACAATCATGGTAAAACGATACAAATTATGAAAAAAAAACTTAAACAGTATGCTGAGTTGACTTGGACAAGGTAATGGGTTCGCAAATCGAGTAAAACGTTCGGAAGCCAGGTCTGAAAACGGCTATGTATTTTGGAGTCGATTTTGGAGGCCAGATCTGAAAACAGGTATGGAAAAATCGCATGTTTTGGTTTTGGTCCCAAAGTGAATTGAAGCACTTGATAAACTAAAACGCAGTAAAAAATCTTCCAATTTTTAAATCTCTACCAGCCTGAATTTTCTGACCCCCTAGATCCCGAAAATGCTAAGGTACCTGAGGATACCAATCCGAGCACGAAGTGTCTGCGACATTTCCGAAGCATATGTTGCCATGGTTGCCCGAAGTCAATGAGGTGCTGCACGACTGCGCGGGATTTACGCATTAGATGTTCAGTTTCGATTCATTTTTCCTTGCCTCCCTTCGTACGCTTTTCATCTGCTGGCTTATCACCCTCGTTGATGAGGCTACGCCACTTTGATCTGTCTTGAGTCAGTTCTTCCTAGTTCCAAGACAAGCGAAGTAATTTAGAGAGTAAGTGGTCAAGTGAGAATAATATAGGTCGGATTTCCGTGAGATCATTTTTAAAATGACCCAGTGAAAAATGAAAGGAATAAAAAGATTACCTCCTCCCATTCTTATTCAAGGTCTTATTTTTTGAAGGAATAACTGAAAGGGCCAGTGCCGAGATTGGTTCATGTTTTTCTTCTACAAGAGAAGCCTGCCTACTCGGTATAGGAAAAGGGTCGGAATTGGTGATGGACAAAGAATGATACAGCAATGTGGAAAAGTGATATGGATTGAGGTAAAGTGGGGTCAAGAATCAGATCAGAAAATGCCCTTTAGTTTTCCAGAGGACAAGCTGCATGCGTCGCAAAGAAGAGTCACCTTGGAGTTGAAGTCAAGACTTCACAGCTATCCTGCATAAAAGGCGCTTTATGAGTCAAGCGAGGCGAACACGGCATTTTGAGCGAGGCGCGAAACGTGCGCAAAATGCTGTGTTCGCCTCGCTTGGCTCATAAAGCGCTTGTTATGCAGGCTACTTCACAGCCGGAGCTACTTTCAAAGAGTGAGAATAAGTGTCTCAATCTTATGGCTTATCGAGACTATCATCGAAAGTAGGCTCGATTTCCGCCGCTCTGCCGAGTTCTTTAGTCCTCGCTGAGTGAGGCCGGCGGGGGACTCAACAGAGTTTTGTACAGGGATGCTCTGCCCCAAGGTCCAACCCTTACCCTGTTATATACAGTGGAGCCCCGCTTAACGGACAACCGCTTTATATGGACTCGTAGACGGACAATTTTCTTTGTCCCCAGGGAAAGCTCATACATTTTTCTCACAATTCAAACCGCTTAATACGGACACCCGTTAACGAGGATAACGTATACTTGTTCCTTGCCCAATGGACAGAAAGTCAACCTCGCTAATGCAGACACTGTGTGTTGTAACAAACCTTTCCCTTTTGAAGGTAAAACAAATCCTTCAGATAACAGCATGTCGATGTTCCCGGTGAAGGTACCGGCGTATACCGTTCTATTAACAGGGGTGCCCCTTTCGCCTGGCTAATTTAGAACTTTTGCATTCCTTTCAATTGCTGTAAATGCAGTGTCTTGAAGATATGAACAAATCACAAAACCAGAACGTTTTCTCGACTTTTTCACAGCCATAAAATGCATCTATTAGCCCTTTCAGGCCTTTTTACAGACCGAAATGACTAGTTGTTCTACCCTTTTATACAGCTGATAAAGGTTGCTTTGGGCACTGGGTAGCTATTGTTTTGTGGTCACTCAAGCAAATTATTGCCTTGTTCTGTAGGCCCAAATGCTCAATGCCAGGAGCCCATCTGCCAATGCCCAATTGCCAATGACCAATTACCAAAGCAACTTTTATTGAATTAGGTATATACTTCAGCAAATGAAATCCCCCACCCTCTCATATACCTGAAGATCTCAAAAGGGAGTGCGGGCTCATTTTCCTGAACAGCGGCTGTTAATCGAGCCTGAGGGAAAAGAAATTGGATATGTCAGTATTATCTTATCAAGGAGTTGTCGTCAGGGGAAGTAGCAACGCTTGCATGATGATATGAGGCCACCAAGTGGTTTTACTCAAGCACGTGATTATATGGTCCAGAGTCCAGTGTTGCGTGATGAATCGAATGGATTTAGACATTGCCACCCGTGCGCGAGAAAGGTGACATCATTTTCACGCGCCCTCGCGTCTCTACGTTCCCCCGTGTATTGGGGTCTAGTCGTGGTCAGTATTCCTGGCATGGCGTTTGATGCATTGTAGAAAAAGTCAGCCGACAGATTTGCAACTTTTTTATTGCTAATATGCCAAAAATTAGTCTAGTTGCACGTATTTTTAATTTTACACTGTGCCGGAGCGATCACGTGATCAGTGAAAGCGACGATGCACATAAAAAATTGCAAACTTAGCAAAAGTTCATCAAAATTTAGCAACAGTAATTTACACTCGAAAAAAAAAGAGAGGTAAATATTAAATTTCTTCATTTGTTATTTCAAAAATTGCGAAAAAGCAAAGTGCTGCGTGATCTTTCTTCCTTAATCCTTTCCTGTTTCAAAACCGATAACAGTAACATAGGAAGAAAGAAATACAGTTGAACCTCTTCACAACGGCCACCTTGAGACAGAAGAAACTGACCGTTGTAGAGAGCTTTAAAAAAGAGTCAATGTATGGAATGTTCACCCCAAAAAAGGGCCGTTGTAGAGAGGTGGCCATTAGTGGATCGGATGTTCGACTGTAAAGGTTATTTTAAAAAGCTCTGTCCCTTTTCCATTTTTATTTAACATAATAATATCAGCTGTATTAGCACCTCAGATTGGCATTTTTTTTCTTGATGCTTCCGGCTTGTGCCGTAGGGTAGAACCTCGATATATCCAAGGGCCAAGAGACTGGCAAAATATGTTCGCTATAACGTTTCGTTATATCGAGGTTCTTTTCCATATATTTTACTATAGCTGGGGTTTTAAAAAATAGTTCGTTGTATCGAGGACTTCGTTAGATGGAGGTTCATTGTATGGAGATTCCACTAGACTTCTGCTTCAAAGTGAAGCGCTCTTTTGAAAAAATGCGGTAACTGTCACCTGAAAACAGCCTCATCATTCCCAGGGGTTTCTCGGTTTTCAAAAAATGACGAAATCTAGGGTCGAGGTTGACCTGAAACTTGAAGAAACTTGTTGGTAGCAAATACCTTAATAACGCGCATCCTCGTTCCCAGGGCTTTTTTGCTTTACGCCAAGAGGACTGGTGCCTAGCTAAGACAAGATTCCACACAACTTCTGATGCAAAACTTTGTTTTATTTCATATAATACATAAATACAATATTATACAAATAAGTGATATAAGTTAAAAGTTGTTGCCAGAAATTACAATTTTTTAAAATAGTTCAAATTCTTATATCATTTCAGCAGCCCACGGAAGTGTACCTTAAATATTCAAGGAAGTACCCAAACATTAAAAAGCGGGCAGGAGGGGGGAGGTGGAACACTCTTAGTTGTTGTCAAACGGTGGCCAAATGTTTAGTGTTGCAAGGGAATGAAAACGTATTGGAGTTTTCAAGTGTATGTTTGATTGTTTTCTACAGGGTGTTTTGATGGAATTCGATACAGTTGTGTTGAGGTCAACTTCAAACAAAAATCTGAGGATTAAAATATGGAAGTGGAGAAAATTATGGGGAACACATAAATATGAGAAGTGTTCTGCTCAAAGAAAGCGGACAAAAAGGATAACTGGGCACTTATTAGAGTATTTTAAGGTACTACAGATTTAAAGAGGGAGCATCGTCACTTTAATCCTTACAAAAATATGATTGGATCATTTTATATTTTTTCATTCTTGCAAACAAAATCCATCCAATTTTCTCAATTCTCCAACGTCCTTAGGTCACTTTTAGAAACGTGTCAAACTTTTATCCACTCTTTATTATGAGTGGGCAATATGTGAAAGATATAAAAAGCTGGGTCATCAAGAATAAATTAAAAGTTAAATAAATCTTCCAAATAACTTAACAAAAAGATGATAATTTTTGGGAACATCAAATCACGACTATTACAACCTTCGCCATATTCTTCAAGATGCAAATGTGATAATGCCCTTCACTTGAGCATTAAATGGGGAAATGTAGAATCTGGTTTTTTATTACATTTTAAAAAAGCCTATTTTAGAAACAGGCTGTTCCAGTTTAATGAAGAAAGTGCTACAATTTGTAAGAACAATAAAAACTCACAGTACATACACATCATTAAGATATAAGTTAGATAAAGTTAATTACAATGAATTCAATTTTCTTTGTCCAGCAATCATGGTCGTAAATCAAAAGCTCAAAAGCATTAAGAAAGTTGAAACAAAAACAAATTAAATATATTAAAATTTTTGGTCCCATTTAGTGCAGCTTCTGCAAGGTACTAGCTAGCAGTGTTGTACATGAAAGGTGGCAGAACATTGGCTGCTTTTTCATGGCTTTTCTCCGCTGGCCAGTCGTCGATTGATATCCTCGATAACAGGTGGGAGATCATTAATGCTGTCAATCACATAATGGGCTCCAGCACTGGCAAGAGCATCATATGCTCGTGAAATCTTTCTCTCATAATCTTCTTCTGATAGAGCTTCAATTTCTTCCTCGTTCAAGGCAACATAATTTCCCTGTTAAAAAGAAAAAATTAGGCAAGACAACATTAGGATAGCAAGTATCAGCCATTCATTCTTGCAGTTAACTCTGAAAAAAGAAAAAAACTATGAAGTCAGTTTAAAGTTGCCTAATAGCTTTGGCAACCAGTATGTTATGTTTGACAAAAATTTGAGCAGTCAAATGGGATGGGCTATTAGCGATTTTTACTGTAGCTTTAGTCATTAAAATGGTCACAGCTTTTACTGCAGCAGTGACTCAGCAACTGTGCTCATTTAACGCCTGCTACATCCAGATCCAAGCTTGAAATAATATTATTCCTCTCAACCTTTTGTAAAAAATATAATACTGCTGCTGTGCAAGCAACTGTTAATAACATTTAACTCCAAATAATAATTTATTTGAGCATAGAAGGAATGAAGAAAAATTCCTACAAATCAATTTTTTCTGTATTTTGTTTTCTTTCAAGGATTTTAGTGATTGCATTGAAACAAGGCATTTTTGTTACATTTAAAAAGTGAGGACTTGCCTCATTTTGCCAATTAAATCTCAGCAAAGAAGTGGTAATAACATGTACGGGTGATATGAGCTTACTGTTTTAGCGAGTCCTACACTCCAGCAGCCAGCTGATGTGCCTTCCCTCACACCTTCAGCTGTGTCATCTACCTTGACAAGGGCTTCAATGGGATTCACGTCTAATTTAATGGCATTTAACCACACCATATAAGGATAGGGACGAGCTTGCGGCACATCATCAGCAGCAACATACACATCAGGAACATAACCTTGCTCTGCGGCAGGTTTCTTTATTATATCTACCATGGCTCTAGTGAAGCCAGTTGTGGAACCAATCTTGAGGCCCATCTCATGACGGAGAACATTAACAGTTTCAACTGCACCAGAGATCATTTGAGAGTAGTCCAAAAGGCATCCGAGCTGCATTGGAACAAAGTTGTGAAACATCCTTTCTACATCCTCCTCGCTGGGAAACTGCCCAAACTTTTCAAACCATCTCCTTCTAACAGACTCCATCTGTGTGATTCTACGGATATGTACCTTCTTGTGGGTCCCCATTGGTTCCCGAGCCTCTTCCATGGTAATAGGGACTCCAGCTTCTTTGAAGACTTCCGAGAAAACAATGGCTGGTGAGTACACACCACAGTCAATAACAGTCCCTGACCAATCAAGGATAACAGCCTTAACTTTTCCTCTGTATTGACGCACCATCCTGTACTCTGAGCGAGGATTATTTAATACAGCACCTATAAACAAAACAATACAATAATCAGAATGTTAAGGCTATGACCTGAAACTGGCCAAAGCTAAGAGCATGATGGGCTGTGCCCTGGATTAGTTGACCACTAAACCAGTCAAAAGAGGTCACATTTCAGGCTGGGTGATGTGAAATTCTTTCATCATGTATCATAAATCCTCTATTTTAAAAGCCCCCCTCTCAAATAAGTCCCCTCCCCCTAAAAAGCCCCCTCCCCTTATCAGGGGAAGACAGTTACTAAGCCCCCCACTCCCCTCTCCTAAATATTCTTCACTATTAAAATAATGATAGACTGTATTAATCAATCACGACTGTAACACTTTGTGTGGACTGATCCAGGATGGTTATTTGATAGCAAAATGCTCAACTGCAAAGCAAAGCTATGACCGATTTACACAACTGATAAAAAAAAAAGTACCGACAGAAAAATTTTGACTGCCAAATCAACTAAAGAAAATCTTATTTTTTGGATGATTCATTACATGGTCAAAAGTACAACTAGACAGTAGAAAGTTCCCATTAGGTTTTTGGGGATCCTGTAATTGCCTCATTTGAAGGCCAGGATTTGAGATTTTTAAAGAAAAATGGAAGCGAGTAGATTATTATTACTAAGGGGATACAGGATTTGATGACTTTATGATGTGCGACTCTGGAAATGATTTTTCTGAAGAACAAATATCCAGTATAAAAAGTACTTGAAAAAAAACTGTTAATTCCATGTAACAGAAATATTTGTGACCTTCTTTGGGAGAGCACTTAATAGGGAATAGCGCTTGATCGCTTCGACCAATTCAACCGTTAGAACGAAACATTGGAGTGTTTGGACAAGATTAATCATTAGAGCATTAGAACAAATTGTTAGAACAACTCGTTAAGCATTAAGACAAAGCGTTAGAGCGTTTGGACAAACCGTTAGAGCATTAGAACAAACCGTTAGAACGTTACAAAAGCCATTAGCTATCCGTTAGTTTTCTAATGATAACAAAATATCGTTAGCGTACGTTTTCCCAGAGACTGTCACATTTTCTCAAGCCTCCAGTTTGCCCGTTTCCATAATTTTTACCACCCCTTCCATCCCAGTATCTGCCACTTCTTTTCCTAAGATGAGGAAATCTGGAACCTTTCCGGATCAAGATAAGCAAATTTATTAAACTGTCGGGAATAGAGCATGACAGGAAAATTTTGGTCCAGAGGATGGATTTAGGAACCCCACTGGTGACCCTCAACAGTAAAGGAATTACAAAAATTTTTAAATCTAAGCCTGTTTCAAATATAATCAAAATTTATTATTTCATTCACTCAGTTGCAAATATACTGAATTGTTCTTTGCTGCTTCAAAAGATCAATGACAAAAACAAAATTAAAAAATAAATAACTACCCATTATATATTTTGGAAAATATGTTTCAAACAAGTGGCAAATGTGACCTGTCACTTCACAGTTGACATTTTCAAGTCTTGTTTCCTTTTAATAACAGGTTAGTCTCTTCACTCCTTGCCAGACTGTCTGCCAATGGGAATTCAAAAAGCGGGAAAAGACCTCTCTGTTTGCATCTAGTGTCCAATATTTTTTATGAGTCTACCACCAGCTGACCATGCACATCTCAATGATTCATGCATACACATGTTCTCGGTTTTTCTCTCTCCGTTTAAGGCAACAAAGAGAACACAACATCTTTATTTAAATACTTGCTGTACTTAAACTTGGGTTGATTGCCGCTGTTACGTAACCTGTGTTTTCGATGCAGCCGGAACATTCGATACTGAGTGCGCTACACTGCGTATTTTGTCAGAGCGGTTTGTAAACAACTTTATGTATTCTTGAAGCATGGCGACTCCAAAAGAAAAACAAAATTCTTGCTTGCAGTTTCACAAAATATTTTTCCCAGTTCCAACTGAAAAATGCGTTAAAATAACAATTCCAAAAATAAAATCCAAGAAAAGGAGACTGTCTACCGGAAACATACGATCGAAACCGGACAAACCAGTTCATTTTCGTCAAGTGAGGAGCAAAATTTTCTTGATAGTCAAATTTCTTTCCCGTTTAGAGTTACAACACGTGTTAAAAAGGCCGCGCTATCACCATAAAAAAGGACTTGTCTGGTTAGTTTTTAAAATCTTACTCGAACAAAAAAAATACATGTATATTAAAAGCGCGCGCATCCTGAAGAGATTTTGAGAACCTTTTTACGCAGCAAAACAAGCCTACGGTTAAAAATACCAACGTTAAACAAGCAAGATTATTTTCCCTGGAAATTAAAACATAAGGAAACTTTTAACTCACCGCTTACAAGCGTTAACTCGTCGCCGGAGCTTGTCGGCAATGAAGGTGGTTGAGCTTTCGCCTGGCCGTGAGCTTTTCTCGCCAAAACAGTCGTCGAACACACAACAGGACGAAGGCTTCGGGCCGCGGAGGAGCAAAAGTTTCGCATAGTAGAAAGCATATTGCCGTTCTGCCGTGATTAAGGTCGCTGCTCCGGAGGTAACCTTCTACCACACCGCGCAAAAGCTACAGGCGACTGACTCTTTGCAAGGCAATTTTATATATTTACATCAAGTGCGTCTGCATCATGTGACAGCGCGTCAACAAAGGCTTGTTTTCACACTTAATTTGCATGTGATTCTAGCGTGTCTGCTGCGTGACTTTGCGTTACCCCAGTCGCGGTATTGATTTTCATTTTTTCTTTTCATTGCTGTTTTGCGAACATGTGTGTGTATTTAGAGAAAGATTAAAATAGTTATAATTACACAACTCCGGGGTTATTCATATTTAGTAGTTGCATGATCAAGACAACTATGCTGCGCGCTTTAAAATTGTCAATGATGTCCCGGGAGCCCGGGTCCACAGGCAAAAATTTCAGGTATAGCCATAAAACATGTCATTATGGGACACTTTAAACGAACATAAAAAAAATGATGATTAACGATCAAAGATGCATGCTGTTATGTAAATGTAGGTAGCCAACTCCAACCATGGATAATAGAAAGACAGTCTTTCTATTATCCATGCTCCAACGAAGAAAATAGTAGCGAAACTGCGTACTGTGTCGTCATGTAACGCTTATAGACTGCTTCGCTCTCGCGCGTGTGTTTGCCTCGTTCACTCTCACGTAACTTAGCTCTCTCGTGAGAAGTCACGCGCGAGCGGCTCTCCCAAGTGGTGGTGGGGCAGAGTTTCTGCGACTGTTCCCAGAATGGTTGTTGAAGCACAGGTATCCCAAGTTCCTTGACCAGGAACCCATGGTTATAGGCTCCTCCTCGGCACTCTTTGTACGGGGAAAAAAGTGGTTTCTTTACCCTACAATAATTTGTTTCTAAGGCCGATTTATGACCAGTACAAGTTTTAGCCGGGGTGGAGCCCGTTTTCTCTGTCTACTTAAAGGATTACAAGGATGTTCTGTAAAGAGAAAGAAAAAGTCAGCGAACCTTTTTTAAAATCTGAAATCTCCCTAACATCGTTAGCATTCAGAAACGATCGGTTTTTTCTTCATACAAATCCTTAAATTTCGAAGGTTACGTAAAAGTGCCGTTCCATTTCCAGCTTGTGCTGACTCTCTACCATACCAGTCAGCTGACCAGTGCGTAAAATAACAAATTCAGTTGAAACATCCCGACCCCTACTGGAGAACGACACAGGACTTCCTTTGCAAACGAAAAGGTCGTGTTCCATTTTCTTTCTCCCAGAATTTTCGGAAACCTTTTGAAAATGGATAACTGACATTGTTTTCTTAAGACTGAAAACGGTAAGGCAGATCGGACAGCTATAGTGGATGAGTAATTTATTTGCCCAGACTTTCGACTAAACAAAACTAGCCTTCATCAGGGACTATAGAAAAGCTAAGCCTTGCCTTCAATCGTAAGTATTTTTCTCTGATCTACACCCAAGATCCGCCTGACTCCTCGCTGCTGTTTGTCCGAGAGGTCCTTGCAAGAATTGTTCGCCATTGTTTGTTTTCTTAACCTCCTACGCAGACGTTCTCATATAGATGTAAGGGAGTTTTTACAGGCCAGAAGAGGCAATTCTTTGAGGCGTATTTCCGATTTTTGCTAGTTTGATACCACACACGGCGTGTTTGCCTGCAAAATCCGGTTGCTAGGCCCCGCGGCTAAATGCAATATAAGACATACGTAGGCTAAAAAAGAGGAATATGGTGCTATTTTCGTTCTATCAGCGTATGAATTGGCTCAGCAACTGTAGTCAAACTTATTCTCACGACAGCCGACTTTCTGCACTGGTAATTGTTCATAGAAACAAAAAGGCATAAAGTTTATTCGCTATGAGTCAACGTAAAAAAAAAAAAAAACAAAACAAAACGGAAAACAGAAAAACAATAAATAAATAAATTCAGACATGAATGACAAGTCCTACAAGTAACTCTGAAACGAAAAGATTTTTCCTTTCTTGAAAAAGCGAGAGCTTTTGTCTAATGAAAAGTAACTAACTTATAACACTAAATTTCTCATTAACGTTAGAGTCAGGAAAGAAAAAAGCGTCATATTAATATCCCAATAGATAAGACTGACAACAAACTGCTTACGGGCGAACTTGTAATTTTGCCACGTAACCATGACTTATCAGAATTTTCAATATCACAGTAAGTGCCCACTGAAACGACAGGGCTCAGCGCGTGGAGACCTCGCGTGGACGAGCCACTTAAGTATTAACAAGAGATGAGCCAGCCCGATCGGGTTTAGCTCATGCCTTGCTCGCTCATAAAATTTACGTTTCCTTTACATGTGAGGAAAAAATGGATGATATGTCTGTTGGACAAACAGGGTTTTCAATCGTAACACCCAAGGGTAAGAAACCCTTACATTGAAGTAATTGTAACAGTCGCGCGCCATACAAGAAAAAGGATTACATAATTTGTGCCGTTTTTTTTGGACGGGGACATCCGCCGTTGAAACTGCATCCTTCCCGCACTCTCATGGCACGTATGTTCCGTGTTCATGCTATGTAAACCTCGACAAACATTAGGGGCGCGTTTGAAGCGCTGTTCTATTTACGTGAGTGTTCCTAACCTCGAGGTTGGAGTGTTCCCTGCTATTGATAATGATAACCCAGCCCGCTTGCCGAAAACCCGGTTTGCTTTAAAGAGAGCCCAAGGAAATAACTGAAGAACGAACGGCATTAGTGTTAATGGTAGGCTATATTTAACCGAGCAAGAAGGAGGAGAATTGCAGTAGAAGACGCAGACGAGCGCGAAGCGCGAAAGATGAGCGATGAGGTGAAGAGGGAAAAAGCTGTCTCAAACCAGCAAATTGACCAACTAGCGTCTTTGATCGCCAGATGATCGGTTGGAAGAGGTTTGAAAATGTACTGCTTATGGGCGTTATTTTTGTTTTCTCTTCCCCTCGAAAAGAAATGTCACGTGGCACTTAAAGGGGAAATACAACTCAGCCTGTGTAGCTAGCGTTTCCGCTTTGCTTTCAACGCAGGCTATCAACAACAGGAATGCCCTTAATTTTGCTTCTTTTTGCTTTAATAATAAATATATAACTTCCTGTCCCTATACAGAACCATTAAATCTCAGAAATATGTACACGACCAGATTAAAATTACTACAGAGTTCATTCTTTCAGTCCGTATAAGGTTTGTGAACTCGCATACCGGGTCCCCCCCAGCCGAAAAAAAAAAATCCCTGGTTTTCGGAAAGGCGATTTATTCAGTGTGTAAATTTCTATAAAAGAAGATTCACTGCAGGTCGTTAAGTATTAAACTCCCAGTAAAAAAGCCTGTTTTGACGGCGATCTTCTTTCCAAGCCATCATCGTAAGACATGGCCACAGGGTTGTTTAGAGTAGCATTAAATGTGCCTCTTAGCGTGGTATGCATCTGTAGCGGACTCAGCTGAAACACAAGAAAAGACACAGGTTATGTTGTGTCAAAGTCAGCAGCAACAGAAACAACAGCTTTGCAGTAAACATGTTTTCAAACGGGACATGTTCCTTTTTTAACAATAATAGCAATATCTTGGTAATAAAATGTGAAAGACAAGTTCCTAAAATCGTCGGTAAGTTAATAGAAATACTCCGAAGACGAGTGGAAGGGTTAACCAGAAATTGTTTTAACAGTTTGTGGATAACTGGATAATTTCGGAAGCTCGAGACGAGCTTTAGAAATTTCTATGCAGTATTTGCTCCTTCGAAAAGTTATTTCGTACAAAAAAGTCGTCAGCCCCGGCCCCGATGCATTGTTCCGCGCAAGTGTTATAGTTGCATTCAAAACATGTCAAATTCTTGGCTCTGTTTTACTTAAGGTGATTCCCTGGTTTTGCACTGCGCATCTCTTACTGCGCATAACAAGATGGCCTCCGTAAAAAAGAGCATGTGAAGTAAAATTATTAAAATGAAGTTGACCGAAGAGAAACGCTATTGCAATTTTTGCTTGCGGTTGTCTCTTGCCGAGGTGAGACTCAATGTGGTGGGAATGTGCATCACGTAAGCAGTACGCGTGTTGCTCAGTTCGAACTTCCTCACGGAGAACCTCGATAGTGGATGTTTAATTTGTGCTTATTCACTTTGATTTTCATTTAAACGCTTTCTTTATCACATTGTGTCCTGAATGTGATATCTCGATGTAAATTCTGTAAAAACGGATTTTTTAATACTTTCTTACCCCTTTCGCATACATCCTATTTTGAAACTCGCCCCAGTCCTCTCTCAAAAATCAAGGAAAATGCATTTGGTGCGCACTTTCTGCAGCTCTACCGCAAAAACGAGTACGGTGACCCCCATTTTTTACTTCATGATTTTAATAAGAACACTGCTTCCTTTCGGTGAGAAAAAAATTGGCACAAATCTATGTTCAGTTTTTTGGCAATTTTACTAAATTGTACGGATTGAGCTATCACGTGTCGAATAGCGCGTGTCCAATTTAATTCTACTTTGTAGCGTAAAGTAAAAACAAGGGCATTAAAAGGCATTTTTCTGGTACGTAAGTGGATAAACAATACATTAAAGTCAAATTCTGTGCGATACCACATGCATCATTGAAAAAATCTTTCCTTTTTGTCTAGTTTTGGGCTGCGCGCGGTTTTTGTTAAAGGGTCCAAAATAGCCGTATTTGTCAGCATTGTGACGTCAAAACGAGCACGGTGACCCCCACTTTTTATTACCTTTTTATCATCTTCTTGACTTGTTACATCAGTGTACCAAGTTTCATCTACAACCTACGTTAGGTTCTTTTACTAGGGAATCACGTTAACAAGCGCAAGCTTTCATATCCGCATTATACGGTTCGAGACGGAAAGTCGGCCGGAAATGCTGTTGTTTAACCCACCTTTGAACCAAGCAGTGAAAACCAAGGAGCTGCATGAAATTGCCAAAGCTAGATAGTAGTAGTGGTCATTATTCCGAGAAGTCAAAGAAAAGCCAACAATACGGTTACTTTCTCAAGCTCGTCCCCAGGGCGCTTTTCGCCCTGGGGACGAGGTTGCTACTTTCTATGGTCCCCTCAGTGTCCTTATTAACGGGGTTTGACTTTAATAGGCATATACACGATTCATATAGCCTACCTCATAGCTGCCTGGTCCCGGGGTCTCACTCTTGATTGGTCTAAATCTGTCTTGGCGAGTGGTCATTAATCCTCCTCGGCCTGCCGCTTCTTTGAAGTCATATTGTCCTGGGCCTGACACAAATAAGATAATAAATAAATAATAAGTTGACAGGTAAACTTCCAAATTTTTAAGCAATGCCAGTTTCGTGCCTACCGCTTCCAGGTTTTCAATCATCTATACGCACATAAACCGAGTAGGCGAATCAACAGCGACATGTAGGACAAGCACTTACTTTTATGAGAGGGTATAAAAGTTCTAAAAACAAAGACAGGAACGAAGTGGACAAGACAAATTTAGCTGAATTTAGTTTTGCGGAGAAATGAATTTTCAAAGGTTTTTGTTTAGTTTGCACACCTGCTAAAAGGCAGGTTCAATCTTGGATGAGAGGCAGTCTCAGCGCGACGGTGAACCACGCCTTGCGCGAGTCGTGCGTCGGTTACCGGTCAGCAATATTTGAAAGAGGTCCAAAGGGTGTAGTCTGACAGAAACTTCCACCTGTCCAACGATATGAACTGCCTTCTTGATGATATCATTTTTGAGCTATTTTGAAAAAATAGCTCATATGTCAGTGTTGTGAGCGTATGTATCTTTGTGGCTTTGTATCTTTGTATCTTTGTAACTTTGTATGTTCGGATGTTTGTTGCAAGAGCCAATAAAGTTGAAGGTACTATGAGTTGATGCTTACGAACCAATGAGATCTTGGCATCTACTTAAACATGACATTGCTAAAGGTCGAACAAGGGCACTTTAAGACCGCCATCTTGATTCTTCACAATTTTTTCGTCTTTTAAACGGCTACAGGTGTTTGGAAACATTATATTAAATATCTTCATGATTTAAACGCTGTGTACAGTGGTGCAGCTGTTTAAGGGTTCATATTTTAGTGTGGATGCTACTTCAAGACATTTCAGACCGAATTCGGCTATCGCGAACGGTACCACGCACGTATTTATGAGTTGTTTCACCTGCTTCAAGGTAGAGTATAAAAGATCATATATTTTAAAAGCTCTTCCAGTGAAGCAATAATTGATATTTCGATATGGACTTAAATTCGAAAGTATGCGGCCTATAAAATGTGGTTGTAGAAGTTTGAAAGGCAGCTTATTTTTTTTAAAGCTGTACGGAGTATTGTTAATTCCGTAAACAAGCTGTAGAAATATTATTCTCCCGCTTACAAAGTTCAACAGACCTTTTTCGTTCCGGCAAAACAAAAACAAAAAAGAATAATACGTGAACAACATGATACATCCTTCCTGCATACTAAGCATTATAGTTATTGAAACGTGTTTTATTTAGTAAAGATGCGTAACTTAAGTAGAACCAGTACCGGTAGGGAAGAAAATTGGAAGAAGCTAGTTGACACAATAATTAGATACTGTTATATTGAGTGGAGTAACATGATACAAGTAGAAATATATTTCGGCAGTTTGATAATTTTCTTGGAAGTTAATAAATGTTAGGCTATCAACCTTGACGTTGCATGAAACATAATTTAATTACAGCTGTCGTAATGAAGCCGAGGTGATTTCTTTAAATCGTTTGAGAAAATTTTGTAGTAAACAATTTGCGTTTTTTTACGTATGAATTGTAAAAGGGCCAAAGACCAACATCTTCACGTGCAAATTGTGCATGAGTTATTTTTATAATTCTTTTTACTCGATTACTGTGTGATAACTCGAATGCCCTCACGTACGAACCACGAAAGGGGGCAAAGTCCAACACTTTCACGTGCCAGTTGTGTGACTGTATATCTCATGCAGATTGGCTTTTTACAATAATAATAGTAAGGGACTTGTCAGAAATTAGCAGGGGAAGGGGGGTGGAAACAGAGGGAGGTTCACAACTTTTTGAGACTGCAGAAAAGGGAGGGTTCATGAAAAATGGGCCATTAAAAGGGGGAGGGTCATGCAAATATGTGTCCGTGATCATGTAGAGGTTCACCCACAGAAGAAATAAGAAGTTCTTTATTTTGTAAAAAAAAAAAAACCTGGGAGAAATAGGAGAGTCGAGTTGCTGTCATATAAAATGTATGTATATGGCATTGCAAAGAACAGATTAGAAATATATTTTGAGCTTTCATAATACTGACTCACCCTCGTGTATTGCAAGAACTAGATTTTATCATTTATACAAGAGGGGGAGGGTCATGATATTTTAGGCCAAGGTCAAGGGGAGGGGGTTAGCAAATTTCACTCCCATTGCAGGGATGGGTCACTTCATTTCCGAACTCAAATTTAAAATTCCCACCCCCACCTCCCCACTGCTAATTTCTGACAAGTCCCTAACTTGAACGTATGAAGACATGTTTCGTATTGTAACCAATGCCTTAAAAAAGGCTCTTGTCTTTTAAGAAGCAATAGCTTTTAAAACATGAAGAACTAAGTTGTCAAAGTTAAAGACTGTTTCACTGAGTAGAATCGCACGTGAAAACCTCGTGAATTGTGATAATGCAACCATCTACCACAATGATAAAAATCCTGTTATTTTGTAACTACTCGAATTCGATGAGTCACATTTTGGCTTAAGAAACTCCAAGGAAACCTTAGAGTTTTCGTTCTAATCAACGCTTGGTGAGTAGATATATATTTTACTTTAACAGTTTATTTGTTTAACTTGCACCAAATGTAACAGGGAAAGACAAAGGAAAGTGAATATATAGCATGAGGATCGACGCAGCTGAGCGTTTCGCGTTTTCATTTATGTACGGCAATACTCAATTTCGCACAAAAACCCAGTCTCTCTTGGTGAGGTTACACTGAAGCATTAAAGTTACACTGAAGCATTCGAAATAGCTCATGCACGTTTAACGTGCCTATGTTTAGGTTTTGTTTGCGAAAGCTTTTACAAGACGGACTTGCTAGGTTTTCAGTACAGATTGCATAATATAGATAACTGAATATACAGGTTCATTCACTACTGCATGTGTTGTGTTCTCACTTCTAGTGTTTACGACAGTTTCTCATATAAAGTATATATAATTAGATCTTTTCAAGTTGATGAAAACATAAAAATTTTCAGAATCGTGATGCTGTTTTCGCGGTTTTTTTTCTGTTTTTTTTTTTTTTGTCGCGATTTGGCTTCGGAAACCTGGATTTTTAAGCGACTCATTACAAAGCAAAATTCTGCCACAAAAGTTAACAAGGCAGTGAATCTACAAACATTACTTCATTCTTTTAACCAGACGGATTTTAGCCAAATATAGAGGCGTCCAAAATTAAGAAGACGAGTGAGTGAAGCCTGGGACGGGGCCGGGCGCAGGGGAGGGGAGGGGAGGGGAGCCTGTTTACCCGTTAATTGAACCCGGTCATTTTTCCTCCCGAGGAGATGAGTGCGGGTTCTCTTTTTCAAACAACCCAAAACACAGGGATAAAAGCAACTTTAAACCCAATAACAACAAGGGTGCCGGGACATACCTGGATCGCCTTCCTCTGACATAACTTGTCTTTGAGCGTGAAATCTGTTTGAAGAGGAAAGAAAGGCTCCTTTTTTCTTGGCATTCCTATTCGAGCGCTGAGCGTAGTTATACAGTACTCTTCCTGTTGAAGGAATTCACACTGCAAGGTTAATTTAAATAGCAAAACTTTCGAAACAAGCTCAATAGCCTTATAATTTAAGGCGCCAGCAGACCGAACAAAACTTGTACAAGTGTAATTCATACGTGCAGCGATTGTTTTTACACTCTCAAACAATGGACACACTTGTAAAAGTTTCATAAAATTTACCCCGAGCCACTGCCGTTTTATACATTTAATTTTCATTTCATTTCGAGTTCGATAATCACGATTTTTCATTTTTTTTTTTAGACCGGAGTTGGTCATATCAACATTTCACAAACGAGTATAAGCAACGGCACCATGCAAGGGTTTACCACACGTTAAAAATAACACTCTTCAGGGCTATGAACAATAACCTACCTTGCGTGGAGTCGTAAGAATGGACCACTTCATAAGAGCCTGGTGGAGGATTATCCTGATGAAAAAGAACAAAGTATTATTAGAAATAAAATACTCAACCATTAAGGTTCCTCTGTCATGCTGCAAGGTAATGTGCCTTGACTTCTCACGGTAATGCTTTGCGATTGGCTAAAAAATCTCAAGAAACTTTCTCGACCACTGAAAAGCCAGTTCTCCCGCGCCCGGCGCTTTATTTGTTTATTTTTACTTCTGACTGGTTCATTGGGCAGACGATATCTATTGTGATTGGATAAGGTAATTGATTTATTGTTTCTATAAGACAGGGTGAAAAACAGAGAATGTAACCGACATTGCCAATAGTAACGAACAGAAAAACTTACGAACACCACCCCCGGTGGGGTGTGAAGTCGTCCAGTGGCAGACACAAAGGTGGACGATGGAGGAACTTCTTTGCTTTTAGATTTGTCTGCCGTCAGGTAGTGTGCGGGACCTTACAAGAGAAAGCATTACATTAGAAACGTGGTGCCCCAAAAAAGTAGAGGTGGTTTTGGCGAATCGTACCCAGAAAATCGTTCATTTGATTAACGATGTCTTGTTTTTATAAGCTTCTTTCTGTCTTTGAGTTTTTAGCTTTTTACCACAGGGGTTCAGATTGCTACCACTAAAACTGTATGATTTATATCCAAACTTGTGTAGCAGCGTAATAAAAACTATTATTTGAAAGTTCAAGACACCGAAATAACGCCGCCTAACCCATAAATTCCCACCAACCACTGCGCAATAAACCTTTCTTAAAAGGCAGAAAAGGGATAAACGAAGAAAAAAAAATTGATTTTTGTACTCAGTCTGTAATCGACATTGCAGTACCCCATATTAGCCCAAAGTGCAGTGAAGGTCAACGATTGCGCTGTATTTTAACGGTGTGTAAGGCCCGGTCGATTCAGGCGCCAAACTTTTCATGAGCCGAACATAATACATTTAATTAAGTACTTGATACATTTAATTAAGTACTTCCTTGCCAGCCCGGCCGGGAATTTCGACTTTTGATCAACTTTGGAACGGCTTTCAAATTGATTCAGACGCCGAACTTTTCATGTTCCAAACCTAATGCATAAATTGTTAAAACGTATATTTTGTAAGCAGCTTGACCGAAATGAGCATTTTACTTTTCTTAAATTTAGTCCGGCTAAAAGTTAAGATCGGCGTCTGAATCAATACAGCCGGTCTAAATCATTTGGGTCGGACTTAATTCGAATTAGCCTCGGCTCATGATAGGTTCGGCGTCTGAACCGGGCCTAATCGGTATCTTTGATTCAAAAGCAGGGCAAGCTTTGGGAGGGGAGGGTAGTCGCGCGCGTGGGCTCGACGAGCAGCCACTGTTCGCGCTCACGGTAGTCAAAACAAACCTGGCATTTGTTCTTCTTGCCTCCTCACCATTGGTGCAATTCTTGATGATGTTGAGCCAAAAGCACCTTTTCTGGTGCTCTGAACACTATTGCATAAACAAGTATTAAAATAAGTGCAATTTCAATACCGTGAAACAATAAATCATTATATAAATATACGCATAACTCCTTATTATAGCACATTATTTAGTACATTTATTTTGTGCTGAAGGTCGTAGACAACTTTGCTTGTTTTGGTGTACAAGGGAATTCTTTATGAGCAAAGAGCTGCCGATAAGTGCTCATGAATTGCGCGTTCGAGCGTTTATAAAATAATCAACTCATTTAATGTTTGTTTTATTTAGAACTGCCACGCCTTTTTGACAGACCAAAAACTGTTGCATCATTTCCTAAACTAATCGGAAAACATATAACATACAAGAATAGCTGGACTTACTGGGCCTTTCTAATAAGCTCTGACGTCATATCTGGAACGTAATAAGCTCCTGGACCTGATGACACAAATCACACAGATTAATTTAGGGCAAGGCCCGTTAGAAATGTTTAAGGTATTTTCAAATTTTAAAAAACAACAACAACACGAAACAAGCAGACAAAAATTCTCCACTTTCACAACGTCCCATCGTCTCAATACGCTCGCTTTGCCCCTCAAACTTTGCGTTCACCATTTTCACCGAAACCATAATGCACCTTGTGTTAACCCTCTCCCTTACCCGCCCCACAAAAAAATAAATAAATAAATAAAATAAATGAATAAATAACATAAACATCTCCAGGGTATTACAATCGTCCCAAGAGAAATCAAAGCCAATAAGCCGGTTTTTTGTAATTTCAGCCGCAGCTGAAATTCCTTTTCGCACTTAAAATCGTCCCTAAATTGAATCAATGCTTATAAAAAGTTTGGGAAGGGGCTGCAGTGTATTGTGCGACGATTTGGAACGATAAGAATGACAACGACAACAATCTTCATTTGTACTCAATCGTCCAAATAAACTAAATTGAAAATCAATGGCTTAATAAAAACTTAAGTTTGATCAGCATTAAATAGAAATGGAAATAGAATGTAATTACTGGGACAAGAGAGAATGGCTCCTGGAAACTATACCACTTATCCTGATGTGCTTGATGGTGAGCTTGTTATTCTGCTGGCTCTCATGATTTACTGGCAGTCAAACAAGTTAATGTAAACTTTGTGACTCAGTACTCACCTGGTGTTCTCTTTACATGATGTTCCCCTTGGAATCGTACAGAGGTCTGACCAAAGGGACTTCGCTTTAGTCCAGTAGTCCTAAGCAATCAAAAAATAATAAAGTTTAAGTTTAATTTAGGAGGACCACCTCATATCTGCCCAGAACGCAAACCATCTCCCCTACAGGGTTTTTTTTCCGCGTAGCAAGATTGAAAGTGCACTGTTAGAAGGGACAGATAGAAAGGGAAAGTTCAAAGGAATAATCAGTTTCTTTTTGTGGAAAAAGAAAAGCCTTCAGCAAGGAAAATTGACTTCAGTGACTTCGCCTTGTGTTTTTCACAACAACCACGGCTGGAGACTGAGCCTAGATCCCAAAGGGCCGATAATTTTCATGCATTATGAGAGCCATTCACTCCAAAGCCCAGTGAAGGTCCTGGAGAAAAGTGCAAGTTTTGAAAAATCGATCGTTGAAGACTCACGGCATTCTAGAGACTTCTGACAGGCTTTGGAGAGAATTTCTCCTATAATGACATCAGCCCTTTGAGCTCATTAAATCTTATATTTGGCAACAAAGAAACAAGCAGCTACTTAGATCCACCTAAGCAAGATGTGCACTTTACAGAGATGTAAATTTTGGAATAGCTGATCATATACAACACGCACAAAAACGCACTAAAAGAGCACTCTAAGGTTACAATAATAAAATTATAAAAGTCTTCTAAACGGGCTTCATAATCACAGAGTTTTGCACATTCAAGTTTTTCTTCTTTTTTTATCCAAACCCATTTAACTTTCAGAAATCGGACTAATGAGAAAGTTTGCAAGGGATGTGTTACCTTTTAAGAATTTCTAAAGAGTTGCGTGGATCATTGTAAGTGCCTGGAGCAGGAGAATCCTTTTTATTATCCCCAAACCGCTGAAATACAAAATTTATGTATCAGCTTACCTCTAAAGATTACAATGTAATACGTTCGAGCATCAATTCACCATTTTTATATAGACTATAATACACCTTGTTTCGCCCCCAAATGTTTGCATAATTATTGTCTCCAATTTCTCCTGGGTATCATAGTTGTCCCAAGAGAAATTGAAACCAATGATTATGCACATTTATTTTATTATTTATTTATTTATTATTTTTTTTTTTTTTTTAAAACAAGGTGCATTATGGTCTATCTGTGCAGATTGATTGAAAAGAAATGATTAAAATTACACATAAAGTCATTTATAAGCCCAAGGGTGGATTAACTGGCAGCATACACATATAACCATTACATTAGCTCTGCAATGGTGACATTATCTCTAATTACACTCCTGAAAGAAGGCTTCACAAATGACTTTAATCTGGGTCATGTAGCAGCTGCTTGGAAGCTGAAAGCCAATTGGTTTGCCACCCAAACCAGAAAACAATGGTAAACATCGAATAACCATTGCTTAAAAGAACGAATCAGGAAAGACATTACAAGCAGCTGCTGCATCACCACTTTAATCAAGTGGATTACAGGATTAATTTTATAATACAAAAAATGTCTACGCCATTCTGTTGCTAGCAATGCCTGTTTGAAATCAACTTGGAACCAGTCCTTCCATGGAATTAGGCTTAGTCCTCCCGTGGCTTATATGCACATTTTAGGCAAAACAAAGAAAAATCAAATGGCAAACTCTAAAACAAGCCCATTGGATTTGATTCAAGGGCTAATGTGTAAATGCAAGGGCTACTACAGATATCACCTACAAATAATAGGCTGTTTCCAAGTTCACAAAAACTCTCACTTTTAATACGAGGCTAAAGAGCAAAACCTCTGTTGTGAAAATGAGTTTTATTGCACAAGAATAAAAAGGCATTTTCATATCAATGACTTTGAACCTAGCCTCATTTGAAACAGAGGCTTCAGGCAATAGGAACTAAGTTCATTTCTGTTGTTTGTAACGTTTGATATAAAGCTTCGGAAACGTTTTTGTTTGGCAGAAAGCAGAAATTTTGTCATTTACAGACAATTCCTTTTTTCATGAAAAATTATCAACAAAATTAACTAGACAACTGTAACATAGCCGTTTATAAACCCAATAGTGACTAGCACATATTTTCTCCTAACATTTCATACATTATGAAGGGTATAGGTTAAGAGAATTAATTAAATCATCAATCATCACCAAAGAAGGACATGCTTTGATCTTTTATCTAAATTCTCTTAACTAATCCTCCAAGGAAATGATGGAGATCACAAGAGAGAATTTGCATGTGGATATTAGGGGCTTAAATTAAGGGTTAAAATGATTTGATTTCTTACCCTGGACTGAGTACCAAAGGGAGGATGAATAATTGGTTCATCAGGTTGACTGATAGGCTGAGGTTTGGCTGAAAACTGACTTTTGATCTCATACTTTCCTGGGCCAGGAACAGCCTGTGAATTAAACGCACGAATAAAAGTCACTTTTAAAGTATTTTTGTTAGTTAGAAAGTTTAATTAATTTTGTTCTGTTTTTGGTAGAGCACTGGTTTGTCAGCAGGAGCTTGTTTGTTGGCTGGACTACACTGTACCATCAAGGGTCTCTGGCAAATAAGTGCATGCTGACTGTGATAATGAGGGGGGGGGGCTCCCATATCAAAGTGATGGGGATGCTTTTCCTCTTGCTTAGGGGTGAAACTTGCAGATTTTGGTCTCACTTTGGGTATCCAGGAGGAAACCTCACTATTTTTACCTATCCCTTAGTATTGAGAATAAAGAAATATCTGTATAAAAATTAATGTATAATTTAACAAAAAGAGCTTGCAAAAGCGCTGAGTCTTGCTCACTTGGAGATTAGACAAGAAATGATGAGGCACTTGATTCTACACGTGAAACAGGATTTCCTCGCTAAAATTTTTTTGCTTCCTACTACTTATCAACAGTCTATAAATTTCTTTAGGATATTTACTTTTTATATCGTATTTGACAATGATTGAGCAAGCTTGTATTAATACTCACGTCAAAATCAATTCTAGAGAAATGAACTATTTATTACATCAATGCCAGAGAGCAAAAACGTGATGAACATGGTGCATCATATCAGTCATCGCTAAAAATAGTATAGCAGTATTCATTCATTTCCTTGTGAGAGTCAGATCAGATCCCAACTTGTGTATTTTTTAAACAACTAAGTTAATCTGAGTAAACTTTCAGGTGATTGCAGGTGGTAAGAATTGTTGCTTCAGACGGTAAATCTTACTGGTTTTTCACCTGATAAGGAGAACAAGTTGCATTCAATTTTCTTTACAGCACAGCTTCATGTAATTTCTTTTATTTTAAGTTCGAATTAAGATCAAATAAAATTAATCCAATTTAGTTCTGACTAATACCTTCTTTTCTTCTTGCATAGCTATAGCCTCATGATATCGAGGTAACTGTGTGAGCAACAGAAACATAAATTAAGTTAAATCATTGAGGCAAGTATTTCATACACATGTACCTATGTTTATTAATACTATGTATGTCAACTCATTAAAAATAAAGACATATATTAACCATGTTACCTTAGAGTCAAAGGGCTGCTTCTGGTTCTCTTCAATAACCTGGAAAATTGGTTAAAATAGCATTTCTTTTTCTTTTAAATTCTATAAATGATAAATCTATTAGACCAAACATTTTTAAATTAAGATCACTAACAAGCAGCCATTCTAATTAGAGAAAATATTTACCAGATCAATTGGTGCTCTGATGCCAGGTTCTTTGAATGGGTCATACTGACCTGGGCCTGGCCCTCCACTCCCTGAAGACATATAGGAAAAACTGTATTAATAGCGTGCTGACAGCAATGCATGAAAAGGGCCAGCAGAAAGTTTGAGTTTAGATCTTAATTTTTCTAAATGGAATGACTTTTTTGCAACAAGATTTATCACATTATTCTTGGTTTGCAACCAGCATGTTGCCGGGGTCATCACATTTTTTTTCTCAAGCAAAATAGAGTTTAGAGGAGAAAAATGCTTTTGTTCTTGACCACCAACGTGGATGCCGCAGCGTCACGTGCAACCAGCAACTGGTTTACCATAACTGAGTAAACAGTCTGAGAAAGGAATTACAAATCTAAATCAAAAGCTTTCTTTACATTCTGGATGAATTTTCTTTCAAGTACTGAATGGTAAAACTATAGGACTTGTATATGTACCACTTTATAGAAGCAGCTACATACATGTACCTTTAAACTGCATTCTCTTTGAGGTTCTATTGCCAAAATGAACTCCTTTGTATCTCTGAGTAGCAACAGTATTCCTCTATAGAGAGAAAATGATCCAGACACAAAATTCAGCAGATACAATGCAACATAGTATTATCAGAGAAGTTCCCTTCTCTTAGGATATTAAACCAGTACTCCAAATGATCCAAAAACCTGATCATGAATTAAGATCAAGATGGGCAAAGACAATGCCAATATCTCAGGTCAGGTGTGGGTATCAATGAAAGACATGGTTGAGACCTAATGATTTAAGAACTTTTACAAGTTAAATATGCAAAAATATAAGAACCTGATCAGCCTGGCAAATAAAAATAGGTTCTCATACAAAAAAATCATTCCCGATTTGGTGGATTTTAATAGTGTGAGAAACTTCTGACAAAAAGTTATTGTGTACATATAATTTCTTTGATTTACATTTGTTTGGACTTTCACTAGAAATACTTTAGTTGATACAGCTACAGCGCAATATAGATGAATAGATGATTTAATATCTAAATATCTTATAAATAAAATAAGAATTGTATTGATGTTCTTTTTGGACCTTGATTGTTTTTTGATCTTGTTCGACCATTGTATTAGTAGTGTAAAATTTGATTTCTGCCAATGGTTACACTACGTATTAAAGAACTTAATCAGCCTGAATTGTGAAAAACTACCTTAAAATATAAGAACCTGTTCAGCCCGACCTTGAAAATTCTAGGTTCTTATGTGGGGGTTTTACTGTATGTGAAGTGCCAATCAGAACAATAAAACCATCTGGGGCTAACAAGTATCACAATACAATTGAGCTATTTTACAATCTAATTGAGTGTTGGGAATTAAATTTCTTAGGATTCTCAGAAAAACTCCCTAGAGTTCAGAAGTTTAGTCACTTCTTAGGCTTACATGATTGACGTTATAATAAGCAGGGCCCATGGTGCTGTCTCGATTAGGTAACTCCTGAGGCCGTAGAGAACCATCTGGTGCTTCTTCATAGCCGTAGGCTTTGCCAGGTGATGGAATGGAAGGTGGATCTGCTTTTCGCTGGAATGTTATACGACTTGTCTTGAAAACCTTTATAAAAAGGAAAATGAATATACTTTCATTTTATTGTTATGAAGCCAGGGTTCTCAATGGGAGCCTGCAGCCAGCGAATTTTGCAGGCTATTTCACGTGAACTCGCCACCTACTTTTCTTTGGAAATTACCCTCAAAAAAGCCAAAATTTAGTGATGTCTGTGTTCTGTTCAAACGCTCTAATTTGTGTTCCAGAATGCTGGAAATGCACTCTGAGAGGCCCAGATTTCAAAATTTTTCCAAGGGGCATTTCCTGGACCTACTGGTAACTTTCGGCATTCGCAAGTCCCACCTGTTGCACAAGTTTTTTCCTTCTCTACCTACTCCCCAGCTTTTGCCACCTACTTAAAACCTTATTAAAAACCACGTGAAGCTGTACTTGAACACTGGAGCTTGAGGGTAATTTCAATGAATTGAATTTACACTGTTTGTATATGTAGTTTCAAAGGTAAACTTATTTAGATGTTTGGTCTTTGCTGTTGTGTTCCAAATTATTTAAGCAAAACAAGCAGAGACTCGTCTCTACAAAAGTATTAACCTTAATTAAAGCCTAATAGATTAGCATCTATCATCACTGTCAAATCAAGTGTAAGCACAAGAATAAAGAAATCGATAACCAATATTATCAAAAGACATCTTAATTTTTTAAAAAAATTCTCTCTGTTTTTATTACAAAAAGTACATGTCATGACTGATACAAAGAATCTTCACATTGATCTGGGGGACTGAAGGGTTTGTTTTCCCAAACTTTCTGCTGTGAATGCACCATTCGTACAGTTGGGACAAAATTGATGTGACACAGTGCTCAAATGGGGAATTTAGGAGAACAAAACAAGCTACCCCTGGAGTTTCTTTAGGTTTTAATTAGCCAGAGTTTCGGTTGTGGTTCTGGGGGACACATATGATGGGCTTTAGCCCACCATTTTTAGGGGGTCCGGGGGCATACTCCCCTGGAAAAATTTTTGAAAATCAAACACTGGAAAACGCATTTCCTGGCATATTGGGCCTTGAAACTTTGACATTAGAGGGATGAATTAAAGAAAGACAAAGAAAGACAAAGCCACATTTCATTAATACAACTGTATATAAACAAAAAGTTGAATGAGATTTTTTTGCTGGAGGTAAGGAGCCTGGCAAATGTTGCCACTTGACAACTTTTAAACTTGAGTTAAGGCACATACTTGAAGGACTAGACCAGCAAACATTTTTTTAGTTTCATGCTCCCACTAATTTTGCATATTTCATACATTGTTTGCATATTTCATACATTGTGTATCTTGAAATCCAATATGGGATTTGAAAATGGAATGCTGGAAAATGCATTTCCTGGCATTTTGGGCCTTGAAACTTTGACATTAGAAGGAAGAATTAAACGGCAATCTTATACTGTCAAAATCATGTTACTCAAAGAAAGACAAAGCAACATTGCAATAAAACAAATGTATGTAAACAAAAAGTGGAAAGATATTTTTTTGCTGGAGCTAACGAGCCTGGCAAATATTGCCACTTGACAGCTTGTAAACTTGAGTTATGGCACGTACTTGAAAGACTAGACCAGCAAACATTTTTTTAGTTCTCTGCTCGCACTAATTTTGCATTCATATCTTGAAACCCAATATGGGGGACAACAAAATTAATTATATTGTATGTACTTTCCTGCCACTGCAGCAAGATTTGTTGAAACATTAAGACAGTCCCAAACATAGCGTTTCCAAACTAGCTGTTCCCAGTTGAGTCACAAATCTTTTATATGTTTTCAGAAAAGATAGGCACTGCAAATTTATATTTTTAATGAGCCTAAATTTATACCTCCTTGCCATATCTTGACTCTTAAGTAATGAAAGTAGCTGGTGAACTTCACCAGCGGCTGGCTCTTATATACATTTACAACCATGTGCACCCCTCCTCTCGAAGTAGATTTTTTTCTTTCTTTTTGGTAGCTTGAACGGCCGTGCAACATTACCTTGGCGGGGATGGGAAAGAAATTCATCTTTCTTTTTGTAGTCAGCAAAATGGTAAAGTTTCTTGACTAGATTTGTCCCTGATAGTAGCTATATACTCTACTTACTGATCCATCTTTCATTCCCTCTTGCATCTCTGGTGGCATTTCTTTTTGGACAAGCTTCTCCTTCAACCAATCACTGCGTTTTTGTAAGTTGTATGCCCCTGGTCCTGGTGTGTGAGGTTCTTTACCACTGAACCTGGAAGACTACAAAGTGGGAACATCTGGTAACATTAGGCATTGAACATACATAGGACAAAAGGTAGAAAAAGCAAACAATTTGTAATCAGGCATAGATCCAGGATAAAAACTGACCGATTTCCTAAATGAGCACTGAAGCACCACCTTCTAGCGAGGTCTGAGGGCGGGCTCCCCCAGGAAATTATTTTGGATCTTTACTCCTTAAGTCCCCTCCTGGGTTTCCGAGTCATTCTGACAGGACATTGGCCAGATTTCAATTGAAACTTGGAAAGTGTTTTTCTTGTATTTATAGAACATTTATACTGTATTTTTTTCACTTGACCGATTTCCATGAAACGGTGGAAACTGGTATGGATCTGCACCTGGTGATGAGTCAATGACAACTGCACATGCAGATCTAATTGACCAATGGCACTGAGTGGCAGATTTAGCACTGGAAGTTGCATTTAATCCTTTTCATGTGCATTCTACATAATTAGTAATTACCCGGTCTGAAAAACCTATCCAACTCCACAATGTTTTAAAAGAGACTTAGTGTCCGAGATGAATTCTTAGTCCAGGTCAATAAAAGTGCCAAAAAAAAAAAAAGAACGAGGTCAGTATACAGCCATCTTGACTAAACAAGATTTGTAATTTATAAAGAATTTTTCCTCAGCACCAATCCAGGAAATTTGGTTCAGGCAAGATAGTCCCATCTTGTCGCTCATGTAACCAATCAAAACACAGCAATTGTTTGATCTCACTCAGTGTCAATTCAGCCATATAGTAATAAAGACCTTTAGATTCTAAGATGGGAACGACTACGAGAAAGAGATTTCCTCAATACTGAGTATTGCTCGCTTGTGAACCAGTATCATTTTGGCAGGAAAACGTGATAGCTGTCATCATTCTACTCTACGAGTTTGAGCGAGAATGTCGTAGTCAGGCGGAAATGAGTTATCAAATGTGACAAGTTTTTTCATTTTGTGATTTGCAGTGGGCTTAACCTCTTTTAATAAAGATAACAGTGATGACTTTTCTGGTGAATCAAAAGTACAATGAAGTTTTCCAGGGTATCTATTTTTTTGAGAATACGCAAAAAAATTTTAAGTAAAAATCTTGTACTTGTAGACATCCTCGTCCTCGAATCTAAAGCTCTCTAATGACCGTTATCGCACAGCACTGTATGTGTGGTACTTTTGACTTACCTTATTGGCTAATGTGCTTCCTCCTTTCACTCTTTCACTGATGATCCCAGGGTCATATTGGCCAGGGCCTGGGGCTGCCATGACACTATCACCAACATCAAGGAATGTCTCACGTGTTGTCATGGACAAGAATGGTGCATAGCCATCTAATTGTACAAAAAGAATCAATATTAATCCATACCTCATTTAAATCTGCTAAAGAATCAAAACAAAAACAATCAAAATAGCAGTTAACCTAGATCAAATGCCTGTATGTTGTCTTAGAGCTTAAAACGCTTCAAATCATGCTCCCTTCAGTAAATTATAGTTTAGGGCGAAACATCATTATGAGTTCAGCCTATAATCAACCTTGATGAATATGAGGTACAGAATCAAGCCTTGGCCAAATTAATAAATCTTTGAAATACCGTAAAAAAACTTAAACTTACATTTATCTGCCAACTGAAGACAAATCATCATCAACAAACCTAATCACCATCTTCAATAAGCTTTCAGACAGACTTTGGCTTTTTAGTCGATTTTACTACCGTATATTTATGTCAGAAATTGTTGTCTGTTATAAATTCAGTCAATTTTATGGTTTATTTACTGCAAAACATCTCAAAGGTCAAGAAAAATAATTGTATTGCGATCCGACTTCCGAAGTTTTTATTTTAACATTTGCAGTAATTCTTACCGTATTTTTTCGGCCCATAAGTAGGAGCTTCATATGAGCCGGGCCCAACACTTCCTCCAGTACTGTCAGCCGGTTTTGTTAATGTTCTTGGAGCTCGGTCGTACATTTTCGGAAGCTTGACACTCGCGTTCTTCTCTACAGGCTACAGTCCTTCTTCCTGCTCACAAACATGGCGGATTGTTGTTATGGAAACAACTGCCGCGGGAGACTGGTCACAAATTATTTTGTACCAACGGGAGAGAGGAGAGGAGAATCTCGGAACGAGTACGTAACGAAGTCATCTAGACTTTTTCCATTTTCCCTGATTTTCCTACTCAGATTCTCAATTACTTGCAGACTTATGAAAAAAAAAAACTTTGTAAAAGAGGCAATCACTTACGCAAGAGATGTTTTATAAACAAAAAGGCTTCTCCTTTTAGCTGGGAACGTCCCATAAAATTTGACGAATAGAGTCTGACCTTTCCCAATGTTTCCAATTTTGCATCGCCGAAAATCTTCAGTGCGTAAATCCTGGGTCTGAATTGGTTTTAAGCCAGTGCTAGAAACCACGATCGAGCTCCTTCGTTTTCCAGGTCAAAAAATATAACGACGACAGTGCTGCGGATCGTTGCGTTCGAAACTTCTCCCCTGCGCGGGAAACCTAAGTGAAGGCCAGGCTACCACGCTGAACGAAGGACTGGAAGCATGTTTCGTCGGCAGGGTTTTCTTCAGGTATCGTGAATTTTCGTTTCTTTTATTCAGAACTGCTATATCATCGTAATCCTTGTCTGTTTTTATTAGCTCAGGCGGATTGCTGCAAGATGCGAAGGCGAACCTCCGAGAAGAAGTGGAAAATGTGAGCTAAGACTTTTACTCAGGAGTTAAGCTTGTTTAAGAAACACCCAAGTCCTAAAAAAAATATTGGATAATACGAATTTTTTTAATAAATGAGGAACGATCGATCTTAGGACTGAAGCTATGGTACTGCTAGTTGCCCTAATCACCAGTTTCTGAGCAACCAGTTAGGATGGAATTTGACCATGGACGAGGTTTGCAAGAGGAACAGAAGAACCACTGGGCACTTATACTTACCATTTGGACCAGTTCAAGAAAGCGCTTTATTCCTTACTTCTGATTGGCTAACGCCCGTCATTTTCTTACATGAAGACCAGCACCTTATTATATCAGTCACTATATTGGTAAAGCATCGGTTGAGTGTCAATCGAGAGTCCAAGGTATCGGCTGTTTACGTCCACAGTGTCGGTGATATGGGGGCTCATACTTGGTGTAAAAACCTGTGAAACTCATGAGTGACATAGAACAATTACAGTAAAATCCCAGTAACTGGAACTCTGAGGGGAAACGCAAAAAGGTTCAAGTTAGTGGGGAATTTGAGTTATCCGATTTTGAGTTATCAAGGTTCTACTGAAATACGAAGAAGCCACTGAGAAGTGAACACAATAGAGCCAAGGAAAATAATAGCTAGAAAACAAAGAAAAACTTCACAGGTTTTTACACCGATGGTGACCTAATATGTGGGTGATCTGTTGGTGATCCGCTGGCAAAGTAATGACCGACTGTTGACCCACTGTCGGCCAGTAGACTGTAGTGGCCATCTACCAGTCGAGTCTTGTTTGAGACTCAACCGATACTCGACCAACACTTGACCAAGGTAGTGACCGATATGTTGACTGACAGTAGATGGTGATGTCGGCAGATACATCAGTCAATGCCCCCTATATGACACAGGATCCTCATACATTTGTAGCCATAAAATAACAGTTTTGTCCTTTTTTGTTTCACCAGGTCTCAACAGTGTTCAGTTGATTGGTTATACTGGAAGTGATCCTCTAAGAGGCAGCACAGAATTCCAGCCAACAAAATTCAGCTTAGCTACTACAGTTTATTATAAGACAAGAAATGGTAAAAAATATAAATACACAGATTTTTAGCTTTTCTTGTACTCTATTTTTTTTTAACTTCTAATCTAATTCTTGTAACTTTTTTTAAGAATAAATGAATTTATATTAATAATTAATGTGTTTATATTAAGTCAGTAGGAAAAGAAACTTAATTTAACAAATAAAGAAGCCTTCACTGTGCTCTGTTCTGTTATAAATCATGCAGGAAGCAGCTAAAGCACCAAAGAAGTGTAGAGGGAACATGAAATGTAGTCAAGCGTTTCTCCCTACTTTTTGAGTGCTCTAGTCACTTCCCAAGTTCTTTACAACAGAACAGAGCAGAGTCAAGGCTCCTTTACTTGTTTTATGATAAAGAATCCCTTAAGTTCCCCACACATTACTTTCTTATTTTTTCAGCATGTTTTATACTCTCATAAAGCACGCTTTTTCAACCAATCAGAGTGCGTGCTATTTCTGAACTTTATTGTAAAGTTTGGTAAGGCACATTGTGTGGATTTAACGGTTGAATCTTAAGACAAACTTCTATAATGTGACCATTCAAAAGAAACTTTGTTCACGGTGTTTTTGCATGGTACTACCAGTAATAATAATTTGCCAAAATTTTCCATGAAAGTAAACTTAAGAGTTCCTTTTTTTTCTTTTGACCCAGAGCATTGTTTTATGGCAATTTCAAGAAAATGCAATGTCCACCTGTAAGGACATATGTAAAGATTTGGCAGTAGAAAGAAGATTTTAGCTTTCAAGATTATTTATTGTTTCTCGTCTTCACCTTTCATGTTGGCTTTATTGGAAAAATTTATGGAAATTGGTATTCTCATGGAATAACTTTCAACTTACAATCTCTGAATTCATTATCAGTTTATGAAAAAAACTAAACAAATTTTGTGATATTGCAAAGTTTTTTTTTGACAACATTCATGCCAGTGCCTATCCAATTTTCTCAAGTCAAGAAATTGAGCATTCACCATATTCAGTGAGTGGACACTCATTTGATCCATTTGAGATTGCAATAGACTTAAAGTTTGCACTACAATTTATGTCAGAATAACACACAAAATGGAAATGGAATATCAATATAAAACATGGAAATGGAATATCAATGAATAATAAGAACTGTTATGTTGGTTTTGTTGGTCAAAGTTATAATATGACATTGTAAAGAGAAAAAGTTTAAAAGATAGTGGGGGGGGGGGGTTAATTCATGGGGAAGCATCCCCTTAGGTCTTATAAAAATAGCTGTGAAGTATTTGTAAAAAGATTATTTAGAAACTGTTATCTTACATAGTTGATCATTAATTTAGATTTGGATTGATCGAGCTGGATATTTAGAAGCCTATCTCTTTTATTAATTAACAGGTAATGAATGAGGCTGAAACCTGCACTTTTCTTCATAAGATGTCATCGGTTCATTAATTATTCATTCAAAATAATTCTTTAAAAGCCAAAAACATTTGGTCATCAGTAGCAGGTTATGGTGAATTAAATATTCTCCAAATAGCATGTTGGAGTTGTCTTTTGCTGTTCTTGTCATGCTGTTAGCCAATCAGAAAAATGAAAATGAAATATTTTGAATGAATAATAACATTAATATGTTAACAAATTTTCCTAATTTGGTCATCAGTAAACTTAATTTTAGCCAATCAGAAAAATGAAAATGAAAATGAAATATTTTGAATGAATAATAACTACTTTTAATAACATTAATGTTAACAAATTTTGAAATAATTAGTTAAGCTATAGTGATGAATTTTAATATTGTATTGATAACTAATTTTTAGGTAAAAGTGTCCCCGACTTGTGGGCCTCCTTAGGTATGCTAGAAGACTTTGACACCTAAATAAAGTTTGTATTGTATTTTATTACTGTAAATTTTTTTGTTTGAATTAAAGAAACACTTGAAAGCAAGACTGAATGGCATAACATCTCAGTTTTCAAACCATCACTACAGGAGAAAGTAAATGGATATGTGAGGAAGGGGTAAGCCTGTTTTGTAATTTAACTAGGTTATTCATCTTATCCATGCTCATAAATAGGTGAGGTTTTCTTGCACAATCTTTATTACCAGCTTATACATTTTAACTAACTATGACATGTGAATATAATGTAACAGGATTCTTATGTGAGATTTCCTTCCAATGTATGTGTTAAAATACATGTACTGAATGGATATAGCTACTTTTGTGTAAATAGCAGTTAGAATATTGCATATTTATTTGTTGTCAGCAAGACTTCATGTAGGTTGACTGTGAAACTCAGGAGCCTTCCAGTAAAAATGGAAACTACCGGGCAAATGAGATGTCCTGTCAGCAAGATTGCATTATTTTTGTGTTTACAAGTATAGTACATAATTATAGTTATGTTTATGTTACACGTTAGATTTGATTTCAGGTTAGATTTTTTAACCTTGGTTGATTCTAAATTTTCTTCATCTTCTGGGGCTAGGAGACAAAGGGAATCAGGAATTCCCCTAGGTTTTTTTAACATGAAATCAAATTTGACCTGTAACATATATATACATGTATGGAATAGAAGATGAATTACTTAAACTCGTGGAGGAGGAGTTCTTTTAAAACAATTGCTTCATTATTTCCTGCAGAACTCGTCTATTTGTTCAAGGATCTATACAATACAACAACTACGTAGATCAGGAAGGAATCAAGCGGTATAACACAAGTATCGTTCCTAGTAAGAGTTCTATCAATCCTTTAAAAAGTGTTGAGTGTATGGGATTTTTTAATTCATACGCACATGAGGTGAAGCATGACTTTTGAGTGAAACAGCGTCTCTTCAAAGGTCAATTTGATTCATACAGTGCATGTAAGAGTAAAAATCTTGCACACCCTTCCTCTTTGTGTAAATTTGGGCTGCCTGTGACACTACTCCTTACACAGTCAAACCTCTCTATAATTGCCAACTTGAGACAAAGGTAAGTGGCCTTTGTTGGAATGTGGCAATTATGGGAAGGGATAGGGATGTAATGTGATACCAATTTTTGGGGAGAGAGTGGAAGGGAAATAGGTCAATGAGACAGATAGTAAATGTCCAGAACAAAAATGTTATCAAAAGGAATTGAGTAAATCCTTTGTTTTATTATGGCTGTTGTCAGTGGCAGATTCAGATCTTCAAGTAAATGAGGGGGCTTGCTCGTTCAGACTCAAAGATAATAGTGGGGCTGGACCTCAAAAATAACTTTTCTCAGCCCATCAGGTTTCCAGGGTTCTCAATAGAAGGCGGCACCCGGGGATTGATCGCCGCTTACTTTGGGATTTATAGCCGCTTACTTTGTGTTTAAGTCGCTTTTCTTTGCTTTGTTTTGACACCTCTGGCTTTGCTGAAGAGCCTCCTACTTTATCAGTGATCACCTCCTACTTAAAAATCTATTGAGAACCCTGGGTTTCTGTTTGTCCTGAAACTAAGGCGGGGACCAGGGCCCCACCCCCAGATCTGCCACGTGTTGTGCAGTTGGGATGCACTTGAACCACCATTTCCATTGTGACCAGGTGGTCATTAATGAGAGGTGAAAATAAGATTCAATATATGGACTGCCCGACTGGGACATATGATAAAAGCCATAGCAGGGGAGGTAACCCTTGTTAAGATGTGGTCATTATTAGGGAATGGACTGTATGTGGCACAACTTGCTGCCCTATTTTTTAGATACACTACCCAAAACCCAAGAGCAAACAAACCGTTGAAAATCCCAATAAAGTAAAGCTTATAGGTCTTACCTACCAAGGACCAAATTTACATTACCCTGTGGCAGATTTAGGGGTAGGTGGTAGGTTTTGATCTTACCCTCAAGTTTAAACTATAACTATTAAATAGTTATAGTTTAAACTTAAGGGTAAGATCAAAACCTACCAAAACTGGCAGACAACAACAAAAACCGAGTAAAAATTACATTATGCAAAAATTTGCTGGCTTCCAGCAAGGAAAGGACTTTGATTTCTCCCTCAGAATGTGGAAACTACATTTCTGGGAGAGCAAGCCCCACACTCCTTTAGCAGTCATTCAGCAGTCATGTTTTCAGCCCTCTTAAGATCAGTCTTACAGATGAGACCCAACATCACCTGAAGTGAATGGTGTCGAAAGAAACCAATGAAGTTATCTGCTTTGTAAGTTGTAAAACAAGGTGAAGGCTTAAGACATATAAAATTTGTATAACTTTGAATTTCTTTTCTTTGCAGGTGATGTTATAGTTCTTTCCCAACCAATTGCAATGGAGGAGGAACCTCATTTTTAAGTAGCCCAGTATACTATCATATGCCTAGACAATCACATATTTAAGAAAACATTTTGTGTTGTTTTTTAACGGTAAGAGTCGTAAAGAGTAAAAGAAATTTGTGAGTGACAAATGAGGACGTTGAGGTTGAAGTCAAAGTGACCAACTGGTATAAGATTGTGCCCTAATTGTGTAATACACACATGTGATTACTTTCAAACTAACACAAACGTAAGAATACTTCTGGGCCCGGTTCCTGAATGGCCAATTAGTGCTAATCCAGGATTAAAAGTTTGTTCCACGTTTTGTATTTCATATACATTGTTTAGAGTAACATTTAGTGTTATCATTACTGTATCTCAGAGTGAAGGTTCAATAGTATTTTGTAAGCTTGAGTTACAAGTTCTTAGGAGAGAAACCGTTCTTAAAATTTAGCTGAATCTTAGGTTAAACTTAATCATCATTCTAGGAACCGGGCCCAGCTGGAATGTTCTTATGTTTAAAAAAAGCCAGATGTTTTAGGAAGCTCTGCGTGGAGCCAGGGTAGAATTGAGATAATAAAGGCTTCTAAAACCGTTTCTAAGTAGTTGTTTACGAGTCAGGAGAAGAGGGCTCACCTCCGATGTAATATAGTTTATTACTCACAGCTGTCGTAAAACAAAGAAAACAAAACATCCTTAAGAAAAGAACCTAACCCTGACAATAGTCCATAAAGCAAAGAAAACAAGTAAATTAAATTACACCGGGGATGGCCCGAAAAGAAGTGATTAAGATGAAGAATAGTTTGGGTAGCTTGGAAAATAATGAAATTTGAACATATTCTCCAACAGTCCAGTGCTGAGAGGCTAGTTTTTTCTGTTACTGTATAAGACAAATTTCTTTTTACCGCTCTGTGCAGCTAATACTTATCTCTGTAATGCAAGAAGTTTTGTCATTAAACTATGTGTTTCATGCGACTGAAGTAGATAATAAAGTAATTTATATGTTGTAAAGAAAACGTCGTCTTCTCTGATTGTCTTAGATTCATATTCTTCTCCTCTTAGCCTGGTGTTCTTTCCTGTGTACTGTTAGCCTAGCCTTTATGGAAGTCGCGAGAAGTCACGCGAGAGCAGCACGCGAAAGGAGACGCGAGTGCGAATGGCTCCTTTGCTCCGTGGCTCGCTCGCGCGTTCTCTCGCGGCTTCCTCGCTCGCCAGCTAGCAGGCTGATGTTCTGTATCCAAACAACTTAACTAATTCGCTGATCCCATGTCATCCAGTGGTTTCTATCCTCTCTTTTCTAAACTAACAAGGATCATATCACAGACGGCTACTTTGAAAAGCAATGTTAATTCTCAAGTAACCATCCAGACCGTGTGCTATCCTACTGTAGTATTCTTTGGTTAAATATATCTTACCAGCTAACTCTATTCCAAACTATAAGTTGTTATCTTAAGTGTAAATTAAACCCTAATTTCAACTACGCATACTGTCCAACAAACCGCCAGCCCTGTAATACTAAATTTTTCTTTTATATCTTTTCTCTACTCACTACCGACTGAGACTTCATACAGTTTATAGAACCAAAAACGAGAAGGTGAGTACAAAGACTACTGCAAAGCTGATTCATAACAACATGTATTGTTTTTTTATAACAATATTTAGGCTGGCCATACCAACCTTCTTCAGGTTTACAGATGTTATTAGTTATAAAAAACAATACACGTTGTTATGAATCAGCTTTGCAGTCGGTCTTTGTACTTCTCGTTTTTGGTTCTTTATATTTTGGCTGATTAGATCTCTTTTCTAGAGATCCAACGTTTACAACTAGCAGGATCTTCGTCCACGGTTTTTGCAGTTAATTTAATCCTTTATCATACAGTTTATACTTCGTTTATGAGAAAATTCCCTCCTATTGAAACGACAACTTTAAAAGAAAGTTTTAAAGCCAAACACCGGCTTACCATGGCGCTGCCGGTCTCCTGTCATACTCACTGTAAAGAGAGACTACTGTCCTGTCCCACTAAAGAAGAAGTCGCAACACTGAATCCATAAGTTTATCCAGATGACACATTGAAATCTCTCGGTGTTCGCCATTAACCCGGGGTAAACCTTTCATAGTCTTTTAAAATAAAAATCGGTATTTCCTTCATCCGGCAGTCAAATAATGAACTTCATCCATGGAACTCAAGTAAAGAGCCTCGATAGCTGTTAAAAAGTCTAACGATTTGTATTTCATCTCCAGCCACAAAAATTCCACACTCCTCTATCGACTTAAAAGTCATGTTTATGGTTTTTTCCCCATTTTTTTTTGTTTTTTTTTCTGTGAAAGTAAAAAATTAGTACATAGATTATTTAGAAAGTCAAATAGTAGTTCCCATGTTCATAGTCTCGACTTTTGACTTTTAATTTACTTTCTCTCCTCCCCTCTTCATTCTCTTTTCTTACCCAGGTTTTTTTGCTGACCACTGCATTACTAGGTATTGTTCTCAGCTCTTTGTAGATCCAACCTAATAGACGAAGTTCACGTCACTCATTTTTCGTTGCTCTACATGCTCTATGATTCGGAATAATGTTTACAATAAAGTCAATGAGCTCATTGATGAACTCATCTAATTACTTTATCAATATACAATTCCTGAAATATATTTCTGTCTGCTTTGATCTTCGTGATAAATTATATCCAAACTAACTATATTCGTCACATGATGAAATTTTTGTTCAACTTCTTAATATAGCTTTTGCAATACAGTATGTACTCGTTTGGTCATGCAAATAAAGCTTCTTGTTGTTGTTGTCGTTATGATGGCTTATGAGAGATCAAGTAGTGGGCAAGGACCGTGAAGGAAGTGCTCTGGGAAGTATTCCACTCTCAGTGCCTTCCATCTTTACCACTGTGTGTACCGGCCTTCTTGAGAAGCTGTTATATTTAATTTGTTACCGTAACTTTTGCTTCCCTGTGAGCAAAGGGTTAGAAGGTTAGTAGCTAGGTACTTATCAAAATGATTAAAGCCAAATTCCGAAAATTGAGTTTTTGAGAGAAATCTTGGGAAATTTTGGAAATGATACTCATTTCATCTAACTTAGAATTATATTGAGTGTAATGTTCTGTGTTTATAACTTATAGCAGCTTATAGTTTCTGGGCATGCACCAATGTTTGTATCAAAACATTCCATATGAATACGTTATATATAAAAGTGAATTTAAACAATAGACCACACCTTCTAGGGGTTTACCGGCGTGATAACCCACGCGGGATGTTGGGTAAACCCATAGAAAGTGTGGTCTATTGCTTTTATAAAACAGCTTTAAGTAAGTTATGCGTTTACGGCACAATAAACCATAGGTTTTTAACCAAAAAGAACGCGCGTACTTTCTTAGTTATTTTATAAACATGTATATCATATCATTTTAACATTTTTCGTTATAAATAGCCACGTACTTTTTAAACCTGCCTCAGTATTACATTAATTAAAATCAAAAGTATTTTAAAAGTATTGTTTGTCATAACGAGACTTGAATTATAAAGTGACGTAAAACTACAAGTCATATCTTTGATAAAAACAAACAAGCATCATCACTTGGTAGCGAAGAGGGTATGAAGCAAATTTTTTCGATGAAAGATTGCACTCCAAAAGAATTTCGCGCACAGGCAATCGGGCGGAAAGCTGAAAATACTTGCGAGCCAAAAATCCCAAATCCGTCCCTTCACTCCTATTTTTCTAATGGTCCGTCTTCTGATAATGATGATGCACTTTAGTTGTCATTTTATGAAATTTAGTGTTTTGTGAGGGGTTTTAGATATATCCATTGTTAGTTAGGAGAGCAGTTTTTATATGGGAATTCAGTCCCACTTTTTTTACTTCAATTACTGTTTTTCTTGTATTAATTCATTTTTTAACTGATTTACTTTTTCTCCGTCTTTATGTTATTGTACAGTGGAACAACTTTAAAAACATTAACTTAACATGGTACAAGAAGGATGCCATTTCTCAGTTAGTTGCTGCGTGAAATATTAACTATAACTACGTTATTGATAAAACACTGCACATGTGGAGTTCCTTATTTGAAAGTTCAAGGAAGGCTCCTTTTAATTAGTTACGTGTTACAAATCAATGTCCTTTACTTTCTGCAGTAACTAGCTCACTCTGCGTCATCATCACCAACGTCAACCTTATTCTGCTGCCATCCATTAATAACATCATGGATTGTTCCCTTTTTCATTAATTTCATCATCGTTATCATCATTTTCATCAAAATCAATCTTTCTCATTTATGCAAGTCTAACATGAAGTTCAGATTCAGCATGTGTCAGACAATTCAGACAATTTTGCCCCAACTTAATGAATAATGTTTTTGTTTTATTCATTAAGTTATCAGTTTTCCATTTTAACTACGGTTCAAACTTTATTTTCGTTTTCTTATTTGTTACTATTCCCTAAGTAAAGCAAAATAAAATTTTAACTAAGGTAAATTTTGAATCAGTGAATAAGTGTATTCTCTTTTTTTATTATTTCTCGGTGATGCAATGCTGTGGGACCTGTAGCGGTTATTTTGGTCTTAATAATTATACCTGGTTTTTTAAAAA